ATTTTATTGATTAAACTGAGAAATTAAGATAAATATTTAATACAGCTTTTAGTAGACTGGTACATCTCCAGTGAATATTTAATAATAGGTGATCACAGTGCTTATTACATCATGTAAAATATTTAATGTTTTTTCCGGTGTGCAAGATGCTAGGTTTAAGACTCACTCTATAGTAGCCATGTCACTCGGCCTATAAAGAAGCACCTGCCCTGGTCCTATTTATCTAATATCAAGCTGGGCTTCCACTTCAATGTTTTGTCAGTCATTCAACTTTTCACAAATTTATTTACCTCAGATTAGCAAAATATTTTTTTCTAGAATATGCAACAATTTTAACGTTATCCTAGTTTTAATATATAATTTATATTAAGTGTTTTTACATGTAGAAAATGAATGTAAATGTATTAAATTCTCTGAAATTATAATTTTAAGTCGTGTAAATTGACTCACTCTATTCTCCCGTCAGTTTATTTCGCTGCCAGTCTGTTAAGACTGGCAAATCAGACCAAAACAAGAGTCCAAATTAGATTTGTAAAATTGTTAATTAAGTCAATGACCAAGACATGAACCTAGAAAACATGAGCTATATGGAGTCTTCAAAATATAGCAAATAAAAAAGAATTGAAAAAAGTAATGGCTTCATATATACTTCTAAATTATATCAAAGATCTGAACCCAAAATAATTTTTGTTGGCCTTACACACCTGTCTTGTAATATAAATAAGCTGTGAGCCGTTTGTTATTGTGTAAAGATAAACAAGTGAAATATTGATATTTGTAATTGAATCTGATTGTTTACCTGTCAGCAGTTAATAAGAAATGACGAATCACCTCAATCACCTGATAAACTCAACATATATTGGTGAGAATAGCTAATGACCAAAATCAGATTCTTTTACTAGACAAAACAAGAATAAATTGTTGGGTTGAATTGAGAATAGCGTACATATATAGAATTTATTACTTCAAAGTGTACTGATAACTCAACCATGCCACTATACAGAAATAGATAGTATATATGGTATAATTGTTTATCCCACCAAAGTACTGCAAAAATATAATTTGGCTTCAGACATACATACAGGACGCCTTAAGTCAAACCAGGGTATTTTTACGTGCAAGGAATCCTGACCAGAATTTGAATTTGAATTTTTACAACCAATCAAATAGGTTTTGTCCACTTTTTGCATTAAATCGATGCTAAATGAAGATTAAATTTTTCCGAGCTGGACGGAAATGTCCTCATGTGTTATTGTCATGATCTAATTTTGTTATTTATAATTGTGTATTATTTGAAAGACAAATTTGTCACCAACAGTGGCATTTCTGCCATAAGAATCTATAATGAAAGGACCTTTTATGTGCACTGAAAATATTGCCCCATCATTATGATCATTAGGTTATGATCATCAGGAATGACTGGACACACTTTTTATCTTATCAACACTAACCAGACTTCAAAGATTCTGATAGTACCTTCTTGTATGCATGCTAGGGTATTTTAAGCATGTCTACAAAGTTCTGGTCACTCTGTTGATTCGCTTTGCTGTGAGATAATTCTAATCCATAAAATCTGTTTTTTAATATGATTCCGGCTGTCTGGCTAAGGCATCGATTTAAAGGGAAATTAATCTGTCTGAGTGATAATCTACTTCAGAAGAATGATTTGGCCTCCATTACGTATGTAACCAAATTTGTGAAGAAACATTTCATGGTTGTAAAAGTGTTGTATAAAAGTGTTGTATCTCCTTGTGAAATAATCACTTACGGTGTTAAAAGGATCAGTTATGCACTATTCCATAATCAATATATAAATGAGCTTAAGTCTGCATGGTTCAGTTGCAGCATTCAAGTGCTGAGAAGTGTAAACATGCTGTTTTAAGAGTGACTCCACCCAGTATGAACTAGGTCATTTTGAGACTAACATATGATGAATCTTTATTTAATATTTTGTTAACATATTGTAAATTTTTATTTAATATTTTGCTAACATATCATAAATCTTTATTTAATATTTTGCTAACATATTGTAAATCTTTATTTAATATCTTTCTTCTGTGAAAGTTTATTATTTTCTTAAAAAACATGAGTGAACACAGATGTGGATCCGAGGATTTTTGCAGGAGGGGGTTTGCCAGGTTCTTGTTATGGAAATTTGACAGTTGACAATGCATGATGCCTTTATTGTCTCCAAATTACGTAGGCATCGTAAAATAGAAGAATACTGGTGACTTTTCTGAATGTGGGTACCTAGTGGTGGGGGTAGGATTAGAATCGGATTCTGTCCGTCCACTTCTGTTTGAGGCTCACCATCAGGATATCCTGGCCCTGTAGGTAATCGAGGCCTAGTTCGGGCCTGTAGAATGCTACAATGATGATTCATGAGCGTACCAGTGTCACGCTCTGCCGCCAATGATCATGCACGCGGTAATAGTGACTAGCAGGTCTGGCAATTTTAAGCAGCGAAAACGGCTTGGCACATAGGCCTACAGTTAATTTTGATGAGTTCGATTCCATGTGTGCACAAAATGGTTTATTTGAATACAGTTCAACTTGATTTTGGGCATTGAGAAAAATACACCCAAAATTTTTGTGATGAACAAATTTTCTTTTGATATTTTGGCATCTGATGGCCACGTTTTTTGTTTTTCCATTTGTTTGCTTGCTTAAAATTTCCTGTCAAAATCGTGTTCATCTGATTGTTATTACATCAGTAAAAATAGAAGGTAGTACACTTATTTGGTTTGCCATATGTTGTTGTGTTAAATCTCAGTTTCTATGTTTTAGAAAAGTGACCTCCAGTTACCCCAGATATGTGCCAAAATGACCCTGTTATGGGCCCTGGCCATCTCTTTTTTATGGTAAGAATCTTACTGATAGAACAGATAGCAGCCAAATAGAATATTACGATAATTAAAGATAAATAAAATGAGATTAGATAAAGAGCTGGCAGTTCTCACTATAATAGTTAAAAACTAGATAATGTAAAGGGAATTTGCTGAAAATTTCAGTCAAATTGATCCACTCCAAACCAAGATTTTAGCAATTGAATTTTCGACCTAGCCTCGATCATCATTACTAAAATCAGTACAATAAAAAACATAATCTTGATTATCCATTTCATGATTAAATCATGAATGGAAGTCGAACAGCAAATCGGAACCTAATGCAATAAACATCGCAGGCTAGTCATGACATCGAGAGTTGATTGTGGTCTGGATAAGTTAATTAATGTCTAATTAATAATTTAGATAACATTTCAGGCCTAAAGAAAGACCTGCAATAGGCAGATTTAAGCTCTTGCGTAATGTATGGTTAAACAGAAAGGGGTTTTATAATATCAATCTACCATGACTTTATGCAGGGTTTAACATAGTTATGATATAACGCAGTAAGCTGATAACTCTAGGTCCAATTTAACCTTCATTACTATTACAACAGGATTATTATTATGTATTTATTTAATCTCTCCTGAACTTGTATTTTGTCACCCAAGATATTTCATCAGAATAGATCCACTTAGTATAATGATGTCATTATTGTACCGATTTCTGGTCAGATGTTTTGTAGGCTCCTCTTACGATTAGTTGATTACCTAGCTTTGACTGGGTCTACAGTGTGTTGTGTATTTAGTGATGGGATTGAGTACATGATTATTACTTGAACTTTATTTAGAAATATCCAGGACCTTACATTCAACTGTTTTACGAATCAAAATATTTTCTGATAGAACTACATCTAAGAATTAAAATATAAAGTCTTGTAAATGTGTGCCAATTTTTAATCGTCTCTTCAGCTTTAAAAATAAACATTCTGTATTTTGCTTCTAAGGATCAAAAGGGAATATCTTTAAAAGATTTTGTATTCATGATAAGCAAGGAGAGGTATAAAAAAGGTGTAGTGACCCTTATCTATTATCCCACCAGCTGTGTTGTCAAGGATGTTGACAAACATTGCGTTCATGTATGTAGTTTAAAACAACGATTTCTAATCTAGATCTAGAACTTGAGAGTTTCTGTATAACTTAATAGGACTAGCCACTGACTAAGGATAAAGAACAGGACTCGTTTGTATGTTATAGAGTTGTTGATTTTATATGCTTACACTTTCTAGAACACTAGATACCACTTCTGATTTGTAATATGATGACAATATTTGGTGATGATGATGTTTGGTGTCTTGATAAGATAATTATTGTCCTGGAGTTCAGCTGTGTGACAATTTAATTCACGTTTATTCTGTGTCTATTTAATTGAAATTACCCAGGTATAAACTAGGAAATAACACAATCAGTGAATATTTTGTTATAAATAATATCAGTTAAAAATGGCTCTATTAGTAACACCAAGGATTAATGTCAGACGATCAGGAGATACAACAGGTCCTACAGAGGTTGATATGTGTATCTATGGGGTAGAATTTACTAAATTTTATCGTCCTTCTACTAGATACAACAAACAGTCCAAGAATAGTATTAAAAAAAACATTGCAAATGGTAAGATTATTTTGTTTTGTTCAGAACATACAATTGTATAATTTTGGAAACATACAATTTTGCATTTACCTGTGAAGGCCGTCAAGTTTTAAGGGGTATTATTATTATAAAGATAACCACTCTAGCACCATACATAATATTCATTTCAGGTTAAGAAACAAAGTATTAATTAAGATTTAAAGGAGTTGTAGTTTGTTTACTTAATTATTAAAAATGAGAAAGAAATCTTCTATGTGCATTAAAACAAAACAGAAATTATATTTGGTAGTATTTAGTTAACTGAAATGTACATGCATCCAGTGACATATTTAGATGGGGAAGACTGGTTGGATGCGTATTCAATGGAGGGAATCTATTGTGACACTTATTCTACCCCGGCCACCCCTTTCACGCCCTTTTTAAATAATTCTTAAAATTGTGCCCTGTCACCTCTCCACCACCACCACCAAAACGACCACTTTATACAATTTAGCATTTAATAATTTGTCATCTTATGTTTTTTTAGCCTTACCCAAACCACCACCTCCCATTGTTGGCAAAGTAACACATTTTAGTATAGAGTTGTATTGGGATGAAGCATTATCACAGGCGGTTGCATCTATACCAAAAGCTGATGGAAAACTTCGATCATGTTTACAAGAACAAGACAAACATAATGCGTGGGGGAATATTTACACGTAAGTTTAATCTTTATTTCTACATTCTATCTGTAATTTATACTACAGGTTATTATAGCTAATAACTGTGACTGCACAGAGAAATGGGTGTCCAGGTTGTATAATAGTGTACATAAGATCAAAAGATCTGTTATCTGTGCATGTGATTGAGTCAATCCAAGGTTTGTATATGACAACAGGAGTAGGTCTCCTGTGTAGCCGCCTGGGCATTTTTCGCAGTCCTCCAGTTTCATCCCAGTTATATTATTGAAATAAAATGTATCATAATATACTCTTCAAAAAAAGTAGGGGATATTGAAATGCAAATACCTATGCAGGTTGTGATATGATAAATAGTCATGGACACTTGACATGCTTTGAGAGATGTTCGCAGATGAAGAACTTATCGCCCCAACAAAACCACTGAGCTGCATGTGCGATACGCAATAGCGCCATTCAAGTGGGAGGGGTTCATTGTCAAATTTGACACTTCAAGGAAGGGTTGATGAAAACTGCCGCTTGCTGGTTTATCCTATTCATGTTTGCTTTCCTATCGGTTTTTGCATAAGATATACTGTTTAGCGTATCTTTGCTTTAGTGTGTTACGTTTAATTTGATCGGGAGATGTGTTTGTCGACGTCAACGACAACTGCAAGAATTGGCCATGACACTGCAAGAGGAGTGGGTCAGATTTCCCCAAATCAAGGATTGGCGGTTGATTAGGAGCATGCCACTTCGAATTGCTGAATGTCTGAGGATTGGTGGAGCAATTACTCATTATTAAGACAAAAATCTTTGCGAGTGAAATGTGGCCGTCAGATAAGTACCCATATGAACTGTTTATGTTCATGTGTAGGCAATTGGCCTGTTATTAACATACACTGGTTACCTCTAATAAAAACAGCAGGTCATTTCCTCAGTTTTGTATTGTTTCTGAATATCCTCTACTTTTTTTGAAGAGTATATGTTAGTCCAGAAATTAGTGGACGTTAAATGATATTTTCTCTCTGCTGGCGGTAGTCACTCACTTTTTGTGGACTTTTTTATTTGGACAGAATTTGGATAGGTTAGAAATAAAGAAAAACCACGAAAACTGATTAGGGCAATACAGTTAGGCTTTGAATAATAATCCAAATGCTTTGATTCAAATAATATACATTTTTAATTTGCAGGGGTTATGGTAAAAGACACACAGTAACAGGATTAGAGCCTCTAACATCATATCGGTATAGATTACGATTTTTAAATGATAAAGGCATTGGAGAATGGAGTCCCCATGTTGTTGTAGCTACCACAAGTAAGCACTTTTAACGACTTACAGGCCTAATATTCTAGACTGACAGGCAAACACAGACTTGATTACAGCAAAAAATATTGGTTATTAAAAGTATATTGGTTATTGGTCGTGTAAAGTTTACTTTCTATTGATTTCATTCCACCATCTTTATTAGCTTAGAATCATCCGTTAACAACGGAAGGATGACGCACTGCTATCCATGGACATCAAAGCTCAAGATTGTATCTGTCCTAGATTTTTTATTTTTATCATCTGCATTCTACTATCTAAAGAATGGTGTTTTCAGACATTTAAAATTGTTAAGAAACATGTTTATTGTCCTGCTAGCACATTGTGACCACATTGCAGCCATTGCGACCACATTGCACCTTTATATCACTTTTATTTCTACAAAGAAGAACCATATTTCCATTCATCTGTAGCGAAAATCTCAGATGTTTTTGTTTTTTAGAACTTTAGTTGTTTGCTTCAAGGAATTCTAAAATCTAAATAAAAATAGGAGTTAACACTTGCTGCACCTACTGGGCAAGATATAGCAAAATCAACATAATAAAAACTACCTACACTACATTAAAGGACATAGTACACCTATTTCCCTATTCTAACAATAGCTATACAACTAGAATACAATTTTAGAATATTCAATCAGCTGTAAATTGGAAATGGTAGAAAAATGATTAACATATGATAACAAATCTGACCAATGATGACCATTTTACTAAAAATATTGACGGGGGGGTGGGGGGGGGATGGATAGCCGAATGGTTAGCACGTGCGCGCTGTATCATAAGGTCTGCCATTGAGTCAGTAGGGTCACCTGTCCAAACTCGTGGGTTTTATCCGGGTCCTCTGGTTTCCTCCCCTACGCGCAAGCAAATTCAACCATATGTTAGTCCCAAAATGACCTAGTTTGTGTCAAGTGGAAATTAAACCTCTGATTAAAATACAGATCTATATTTTGCTTTGTTTTTTTATACTTTTGATGGTCAACACTACATGAAGATCTGACCGGTTGTAGTGGAAGGTCGCGTAAGGTGTCATACGCACGGCTTTTGAACTTATGACGTCAGACATTGATTAATCAATCATTCGTTGACGTTTCTAGTGGTTTATCCACAGTTCCGTGCACCTCACGCTAAAAACTCGCCATAACAGACCGTTTCATTGACTAATCCCTCACGTCATCCAGAATGCAGGTTATACAACTTTTCCAGATCCTATGTCCTAGTGTAGTAAAGACAAGTAAAATGAAATTTTGAACTATAAAAACAAAACGATATAGGATCTGTGTTTTAATTAGATTGAGGAATATCAGTCGAAAATTGGGTTAATTCAGTTCCGTTTTTACAAAGATCTGATGAATCGAAAATGCTATCGATCTATGCTGCCACCATCTTTATTTATCGTGAACCAAATTGCTGGGCCAGCTTTTAATCCTATTGAACCCAAGCTGGGATATTATCTAGTGTTTGTATTTGAATTAAGCTGTTATGTGAGACATTAGATATTTTTTTTAAAAAATGGAAGTTATGCATCGTTACTTTAATATAGAGATGTGTTATTTCCATAACAATATGTTATAACTGATTGTTGATGTTTATTTATCACAGAAGAACCATTAAATGGTGAACATTTACATAGAGCAATATTATTACATGATGTACCTGGTTTACAGAAAATTATAGATACAGGGTAAGAACTTAATAATCATAACATACATAACTCAATCATCCGCAACAGTTATTCAGTACAGGTAGAACTGATCACCCATCCAATGAACCAGTCAATAAGGTACTCCCAATACAAATAAAATTACCCATTCAATACACTACACATCACAAACTCATCAATTCAGTTCTTGACATTACCCATCCAATACACTTTACATCACCCACCCAATACGCTTCAGATCACCATCACACAACTCATCCAGTACATTACTTTACATAACATCACTCATTCCAATTCACTTCCCATTAGCCTTCACTCATCCAATACACTTCATGTCACACATCCAATACACTTTACATCACCCACCCAATACACTTCAGATCACCCATCACACCACTCATCCAGTACAGTACTTTACATAACATCACTCTTTCCGATTCACTTCACATTAGCCTTCACTCATCCAATACACTTTACATCACCCACCCAACACACTTCAGATCACCCATCACACCACTCATCCAGTACAGTACTTTATATTACATCACTCGTTCCAATTCACTTCACATTACCCTTCACTCATCCAATATCACCCATCCAATACATTTCATTTCACCCGTCCTATACACTTCACAACACCCATCCAATACAAGCCATATCACCCATCCAATTCATTTCATATCACCATCCAATACACTTTACAATACCCACCCAATGCGCTTCAAATCACCCTTCACCCATCTAGTACAGATCACCCTTCACCCACCCAATAAACTTCACATCATTCATCCAATACATTTTAATCACTAATATAATTAACAGCATTCTTTCACTCCATAATCTGAATTCTGAATAATCGGCATTAGTTGAAATGATCAGATAATTGCATATAGATATTAAATTTATGTCTTGTTACAAGTACATTACTTTTATCAAAGCTGACTATAAAGAGCTTTAAAAATAATGATTGCATATATAATACATGCTAATTATTTGACACCTGGTAGTGTGATATTATTTGTGATATTTATAGGGAAGTTAATATTGATGTACCTGATAAATTTGGTTTTTCTGGTTTAATGCAAGCAGCACAAAAAGGTTTCACAGAGTAAGTGAAAGGCTTATCTCTTTCAATGTCTCTACTTTATAATAGATATATCCGCATAACCTTAAAGATGCATTATGCAGTCTAAATCTACCTATTATAGGTTTTTTTTACCTATTTATTATATTTCTACTTTTCATGTCTCCCTTTTATGATATCTGTACATATTTTTGTAAGATATTTCTAATTGGCCTTCCTTAAGATATGTACATGATGTAATCTTTAAATAACCATACTCTAAAAATTCTGGTGGACAGCAAACAATTCTAAAAACAACCTCAAAATAAATTGCCTTTGAAAAAAAAATGCTGGCTTTAGGATATCATAAAGCCTTCCCTGTTTTGATCTCATACCTTTTATTAGTATTCTTCTTTATTTCTGTGGATCATAAGGGGCCCATAATAACAATGTAATGTTTATTATTTTGATTTTAGTGTTGTTGAAGTTTTGATAGAAAATGGTGCTGATGTTCACTCACAGAATGATGCTGGTAAAACACCGTAAGTTTGAATATTCAATGTCCAATGCTAGTGTTAGAGAGGATAGCATTGCTCGGATACTGAATTCTAACTGTCTAGGGTTCCCTTTTTCCCATCCAAACGATAATATGCAACAATTTTTTTGTCAACCCCACAGACACAACCCCTGACAAATCGGAACAGGACTTGGTTCAATGAGGAACCCTATCACAGATAAATGAGTTGTTTGCTTGCTGAGTTTGTGAATGCTATATAAAACTGAGTTTTATGTGAATTCTATCAAATTTATCTCTACTGGAATTATCTCAAAGTTCTATGAAGATGTTACATTTTAAAATTTGGATGGATTTAATTAAATTAAGCAGCAGAATTTGTTGATAATAATCTTGTTGTTACAGGCATGGATGACTTTGCTGCTCGTGATCGAGTGTTTCAAGAATGTTAGAGCATTTTAGTTTTTTCTTTTATTACAGATTAATGTTAGCGTGTTTTGCTGGTAAATTAGAAGTTGTACAGTTATTGCGATCACATGGTGCTAGGTATACAGACTTTGACAAAGGTGGCTCTACAGCTGTACACTGGGCAGTTGATGGTGGTAACACAAAACTATTAGAGTGGATAGTATCTGACGGTGGCGACATCAATATCAAGGACAATAACTCTGGTTGGACTCCTTTATTAAGATGTGGTAAGTTACCAGACTTTTTCACTACGCTTGCTACTTTAGAGATAAGCACAACTAAAGATACCTGAGGGCATCTCAACATTTTATGTCATCCCACATAATGTTTTTAATGAATTTGGAAAACCTTAGTTAGTTGCCATACCCTTTATTTTTGGTATTTTGAGTATTGCATTTTTTTGCTTCTACTATGACATTTTAAAAAAGATATAACTGGTTGCATTTGATTAATCTGTTTTCAGCTTCAGTAGGAGGGAATCGAGATACAGGATTAACTTTATTAATGAATGGTGCCGATATCAATGCTCAAGATAGGGATGGAAAGACAACGCTGATGATTGCAATAATTAATGGAAACAACGCCTTATTAGAACTATTATTACAAAGACGGGCTGATATAGGAGTGAAAAATGAGGTTAGTTTATATTTTATTCACTAGACATGGTCAACATTTCAAACTACTGAATTGACATATATGGGGTTTATACTGAAAACCTTGATTTTGAAATGGAAACAGAACAGAAAACATTGAAAAGTCTTCTTATCTTTTAAGTTAAAAATGGTTAGTTTCTTAAATGCTATTTCACTGATCACATTTAATGTGTCAATAGTAATTTAACAATGTCGTCCACCCCTGTAAGACTTGCTGGCAATTTCCTTATTACTTTTTAGGCAAACTGGGTTTTTTCTGTTTGCTGATTCATCTTTGATTAAATCTCTGAGATAAAAACAAAGATTTACCTCTGTGTGTGTGTGTTGAGATATTTATTATAGGCTACAAGATGAGCATTTTATGAAATGATATGTTTATGTTTGGATTTGTAACCAGGTTCTATTTTATGATGGACTGAATTTATTTGATTATAAAAGGCTTAACTTAAAATCTTTTGATAAAGTAATTCTTTTTACGCTAAGGTAAGGTAGATCAGAAATCTGACATTGATTTATCAGATAAAACACACACATGTAGAACTATATACTACATGTAATATATTTTACAATTGAACAGTTATAGCTATATGTACTATATTTTACAGTTGAACAATTATACCATGTAGCTATATGTAATATATTTTACAGTTGAACAATTATACCATGTAGAACTATATATAGCTATATTTACTATGTTTTTACAGTTGATCATGAACAGTTATACCATGTACTGTATATGGCTACATATGTAATATATTTTACAGTTGATCATGAACAGTTATACCATGTAGAACTATATTCCATGGATGTAAAATTATGTAGCTACACACACATGTAATATGTTTTACAGTCATTTCTAAGATATAGTTGTCAAAAATTATGTCAAAGTAGAACTACAAGTACGATATTCACCCAGTACCATTAAAGCAATGTTCATAACATCAGTCGACATGGTAAATATCTTAAAAAGATATAGTACTTTGATGTTCAACATCCTATATATATAATTAACTATTGATTAAGTCGGAGCAGAACAGTAGGATGTTAAACCCAGTTTCATTTCATTTCAACTATTGATTAACAACTACCTGTATGTTCAAACCATGGGCAAGTTATATTTTTTGCTGAAAACAGCTTACCTGGTATAATCTAACAAATTATGATACAGGAAATTCATGTAAATATAAGAGCTCCCAATGGTTTCTACACAGAATTTTCTGAATCAAAGCATTTCATTATGCGACCTGTTAAAAATCCATCAAAATAACAAATGAAATAGTACCGGTACCTATGTTTTCAATCTGAAAGATAAATTCTTAGGCATGACTTTATGTGGGTCCTTTAATATATTTACTAAAGAGATAATAGGCAAAACGTTAATGTAAATTTACTGCATAGATAATAGAAAAAACTTGTATGAAAACAATATCTTGATCAACAGAAGTTTATACTATATACAAGCCCTTTAATGTATTTACTGAAAAGATATAATAGAAAAAAACTGTTATATATTTACTGAAGAGATAATAGAAAAAAACCTTATATGAAAACAATATATTGATAACAAAAGCTCATATTGTAGTGGATTAGTTTTGATTCAATTTGTTCTTATATAATTAATTGGCTGTAATGCCACATTAAACTGCTTACATATAAGACACTTTTGATATTAGAAATAAGGCTCTAGTATTATGATCTAGCAGACGATGATATAATTATAATATGCTTTACATATTAAAAAATTATTTTTTTTAGAAAAACTAGTTGGCTTATTTATTAATGTATTTTATAATATGTATTTTGTCTTTCTGTTTTCGATAAAATTAAATATAATAGATGATAATTTAATTTGATATATAATCAATGGAACCTAAAGAGAATTTGTTTTAGTATTTATCAAAAGTAACATGTCTACATATATAGATATCTACTGTCTGATCTAGCTCTTGCATATATACTTTAGTAGATCACTGAAAAAAACAACAACTTCATTTGGATTCTCTGAAGGGTAAGAGGAATTTGGTTGTCTGAATAAACTTATTTTCATTCACTTTATAAAAAAAAAGTAAATTATTACCATTGTCAGATCTCAGAATAACTGAAGTATTGTGTTTAGACATTGCTTTCCCATGTCCCCAGTAGACAGATTTACAAGGGGTTAATACCAGATTATATGTAACAGTAGATTGTGTAATACACTTTTCTATTATACTATAATATCTTAACTAACAGGTAAGATATTTCTAAACAATTTTAAATTATGTTAGAGAAAGAACTCAATATTCTTGTATTGCAAATTATACAGTCTCCTCTTATTTATCCAATTTTATATTAAGATAGTGAATTATGTATTAGAATATCATTTTAGACAAATGGAAATTGAATTTTTTTTGCATTTAAAATGCTATATGAAAAATGCATGAGTTGTCAGTGTTGATGTAGGCCTATATATGTTATAATATAAGATGGTTCTGTTGACTCAATCTATAGCAATTTGATCTCATTAAAAAGTTTTAAAAAAGGCAAAAAATTTAATTTTTAATCTATTGAAATACATCAATCAACATATTACTTGAATATATTAGCAGGAGTACAAGGGAATTATGTTGGTGTACATTTTTTTTGAGATATTTTGTTCTTTTTATGAATAAGCATTAAAAAGATGTCAATTCTTCTGAACTGATTGTAGTTTGATTGGTATTTGATCTATCAGAGATATTTATTGCAGATGTTAAGAGGAGTCGTTGTTAATGGAGAGATCAATAATCATGTTTATATTATATCAAGGAGTAACAATGATATGATCAAGTAGAGTAATACCTGAAACATTAAAAAGCCTGGAAAAGTCAAAAGAAGGTCGGGGTTGGCAAAGGGAGGGTGACTATTATGATGGTTTAAAATTGATCTATTTCTCTATTTAATTCCCTGCTAGACTGCTTTTCAATAACCAAACCATTTAGTTTTTGCATTAACCTTTCATTGAGTCTATTCTTTTAATTGATGTTGAATATTATACAGGTCTACCATTTCACTGTTAGGGTTAATTTCTCTAAGTCAAACCGTGATATGGAATCATATTTCAGTCATATTGATTTATACTGACTACTATCATCAATAAGTAATGAATCTCTGGTTACACTAACAGGAGATGATACCAGGTAGTTGCACCATCAGGGTACTGGGCTCAGTAGAAGAGCCCTTTATGGGGGGTATGAAAAACTGAGGTCCTTCCTTGTGTACACAATTTGTTGTGCATGTGAAAGTACCTTTGACAGTGAGTTTAAGTGGAAATACTGTCAAGATAAAATTCTCTTTAATGTGCATAACTTTGTGTATGTTTGTCCATGGACCTTATAATATTATAAGGTCCATGGGTTGTATTATAAGGTCCATGGTTTGTCTTAAAACAAATGAAGTATTGTGTTAAACCCCATTTCATTCCAAAACTGCATTACACCATTCCATTCCACAACCGAATTACAGAAAACATTCATGGAGGCATGAATACTGATCTTCTATATATAAAACCATTAAAAGACAAAGACCTATTGAACAGTTTATCACTATTGATTGTTATACTCTTCTAAGTTAAATCAGAGATATTGACAACCTCTGTGATTTACTGCCATAATAAAAATAATACTATCTCAATGTCTTACTCTATGGGAAAACGGATAAATGAGAAAAACAGTTTATGGGTGATTACCTGTGGTCAGGTAAAAAGGTATAAACAGGTAATTATCACCTGTGATTGTCTACTTGTGGTTCATGTTGATGTGTTTTTAATGGGTCGTGATATTACTGAGATATATGATAAAGATCTTCGAACAATCGATTATTGATTTATATCATATCATAAAATATGATTGTTCTTTGGTATTTGAAATGAATGATTGAATGAATGAAAATAAACATGGTTTTTTTTTGTCAATGTAGATGATTTGACAATAGTAAGTATTGTCATTATATAAGATAAATAATAATTAATAGTACAGGATTACAGAATATGAGGTATTGTCATTATATAAGATAAGTAATAGTACAGGATTACAGAATATGAGGTATTGTCATTATATAAGATAAATAATAAGTAATAGTACAGGATTACAGAATATGAGAATGCCTTGCAAGTCCATGATTGTTATCGTGCAGTTTTCAGACAATATCTAATTTTTCGTTGGTTAATCCATACTCAAATTAACTCTTAATTTACGTAAGTTTGTAAAAAATGGGAGGGGAAACGGCACCACTCCCTTAAAACACTAGCAGGGCAGTTTTTATCTATTTTAAGTAAGAAAAAAACCCCAAAATATCAACAGTAGATAATCTCCCGGCTTGGATTCTATTGGATTAAAAAGAGGCCCATCAAAAGATTTTATCCAACACTTATAGTCTATATCATCTGCAGAGTATACCGAATGTTGTTAAATTTTCAATTTGTCAAATCTTTGTAAACTGAATGGAATTGAATTGAACCATTATGTTGGACTGATATTCCTTTTAGACTTTCACAATATTGTAATTGGTAAAGGATTCAAAATTCTGCAAATGACCATCAGCGGCTTTAGGATTTTATACCATGTAATTAATTTGTTCTAAAGGATTTTGCACACAACTGTGAAGGGCATTTCTATTGTTTTCAGCACCCATGTGTCCCCGTACCAAAAAGGAAATTATGTCTAGTCATTCATATGGGACAAAAATCATGAAATCCTGCCCTGTCATTTGCAGATTGATAGTGTATGTCAAAAGTCCCTTGGCATTTGGAAGTCAAAGGGTAGTAGACTGAACCATGTTCTCCTCGCATTGAAATGAAAAAATTATTTTATTGTCCGGTTGTCCCCCTCCTTTTTGGGACACAATAACTCTCCTTCTAATTGAGCTAGAATGTTCAAACTTGGTGTAGGTGTTTATTAGGTTAATGCGTGAATTGATGGAGTTCAAAGATGAGCATAATCACCTGATTATGTAAATATGAAAAAAATAATACAAATTGAAATCAGGGTGACCAGTTATAAAAATGTTTGCTGATAACTTTCTGTATTTCTATATTTAAGTATGGTAAAACAGCCTACGAAATGGCCATATCTATGGAGAAACGGGTAAGTACAATTACTATTAAAGGGAAACAACAAACATTTTTAGTGACATCTGAAATCATTATTTGCTCCACATAGGTTCAAAATTTCAATGGTCTCACTCTCACTTTAGATAAAAAAAAAATATTAAAAGAAAAATAAACAACCATATTTTCCTTTTGTCACACCAGTCGAACATCAACCATGATGATGTCTAAGAAAAGTGTTTGTTAAAGCTATTGTATTTAAAGGTGTGTTTATATATTTGGGGTTCGGATTACTACATTTGTTACTGGACGACTTGTAAATTATGAACGATACCTATTTGTGACCACAAATAGTCTGGCCAGGAACACCATCTAGCCATACGGATAGGATAACAAACTGAGGTCCTGTGTGTGCATTGACAGTTGAAATTTGATGAAACAGTATTTTCTTGGTAAAATTATTGTAAACTCTACTCATGCTTGTCACAACAAAACGGCAACTGCACACAAATCAATTGGATATTAAACGTTAAAATGAGATTATTACACATTTATATAATTTGTAATTTAATTTTTCAGAAAATTATAAAGACATTGGATGACTACATAGAAAAACACAATATAAAGACGTAGTTGATAGAAGAAGGCTGTATATAATTTTATTTCATTTAAATCTGGTCATACCAACAAAGAGCTGTGAAATATTCAGAAATTCCAGGAGGAAAATCATTCATTCCATTAATGCATCATATTTTTGAAACCTCAGAAAACATTTGGTACAATTGGAAAAAAATACAGTTTGTTGTACATTACATCTTGAAATTTACTTTTTGAGATCGTGTGAATCCTAGACCTGCGTTTTGTTGACTTACAGAATTTTTTGTCTCATGTAAAATTAGATTTAATCTAATAGTATGATTGTTATATTTTATTTATATTTTAATGTCTGTACACTTCCTGGAAACATTCTTAATTAGAAAATGTTTATCTTCATAAAATGACATGCTTGGCATTGTTATAATACATATCATAAGTTTAGATATACTGGATGTGAAAATTGTTGATTTGGGGTAATATTATTGGCAGTAGAGCACAAATTGCTACATGTAAGAATTGAGGTAGTCAATTAATATTTATATAATGTCATTTTATAATAGTTAACATTTTTTGAAGTGGTGTAAAGATATTCCATTTGGAGCTCAGAATGGATTAAATAAAGAGAATAAGATAATTTGAAAGATTCATCTTGTACATTCCTATTTAAAGATATAATATTTCCTTGACTGTAGGGAACCTCAGTATATAACCATTGATAGAAAATCATATTAAAACTGCTGGTGAAATATATGTTACCAAAAACGTTACAGCTTTCAAAACACTTTAAGGAAATATGGGACTATATATTTCATTGTGTTATTATTATTTTGTTAATATTATATTATAGACATCATATTGTTTAATTTGTTTTGTATTATTATATTCCATATACATGTATTGTATTTTATTGTTGATAATTCTTCTAAAAATTGTTTTCACTGTAAAACATTATAAATATATGTTTACATATACGGTATTCAAATCAATACAAATAGTTAATAAAACACTATTTACAATACCATATTTAGACCACTAAATAATGACATCATTCTTGTTCTATTATCGAAGACGTTGATAATCCTGGCATCTGATTTTTCCCCACTTATTATTATATTGGTTTTTTTGAGTGACAATGAGTTTTGAAATATTACAGTTTCACCACTCCAAGACCGTACTTTATATTACATGTATTTTATGGAACAAAAATATCTATTGAAATGAATGTGACTTGCTACAAGTCAGATTTATTATAAAACATACTATTTCTTTCCCATTTCATGTTTAATGGGATGTAAACCAAAAATACTTATACTCAAAGAATTTGATTCTGAAATATTTGGCTTAAAAATTATATGGAAATTTAACTGTGCAAATTTAAAACCATAAAATTTACTATTTGAATCAAAAAGAATTAGTGGTCACATCGAATGATGATTTCAGTATTCAAGTACTTTAGTCATTTTACAAATGGTAATCGAGTATTCAATTCAGTTTAAATGATCAATGTTGGGCATTGGTTCATATTTCTAGAGATTGTGAATATCTCAGATAAATAGATTTTCCATATCTCCTTATTTATTTTTGAATATTATTTGATTTTATTGAATTATACTATTAAATATATCATGTCATGTAAGAAATACAAAAAAAAATCTGATCACATTCCATTAGTTTTAATTGACATCGAATAACGAATACCAAAAAAATGGTTCAAATAGCCTTGAAAAACTATTTCAATGGAATATTCAAATGTTTATGTGTGCATTTGAAGTATTCAAAAATAACTACTTAGAATTAGATATATACATTTTGATTCAAACTTTAAAGCAAGGTTAAAATTTTGTGTAATGCTAACCCCTGTCTTCGCTCCTATACTTTATTAACCCAATGGCAATCTGCTTTCAACTTTAATCCTTTTATCGAGAAATTGTGTTTTATATGGTCCATGTTATTAAAGCTCTGTAAGTATCATGGTTATTCAACAACCAGTCAGCAGTAAAACAAAATTATGGACGCATGAATGCGTACCATTTATGAGATGTACCTTGTGACTGTAGTTCCTATGAAATATTTCTACACAGTGGGGTAAACAAAAATATTCTTGAAGTTAGGCCAAAGCATTTTGAGATCTTGTTGTGATTACCTTGTGGTCGTTTAGGAGTAAAAACGTTTGCTGGCAGTTTGTTAAATAAATAATCAGGCCTATATATGTAAATATTTTAACATATACTTTAATAGCTTATATAAAAATGTTGTTGTAACAGTATGTTTATTGTTTTAACATAATGTTTTGTCCATCCACTAAATATTCCGTCCAAGAAATAACTTTTCTTATAGATATTAATGTGGTTCCAATAATTATCCATATCTTTAATCTATTACCATTATTTGGGTACTACATGTATGTATAAACAGACAAGAATATAGTTGATTTACATTCGGTGTAGATATCTCTAGTAGTTATCAATATTCATTTATCATTGTGAAAAGTTTCAGTTGAATTTCTTTTTTTATTTGTATAACAGCTGTGTTTATATTTTTTAAATTAAGTATAATATGAATATGTTTGTTGAATCTACATAATAAAAAATCCTCATTGTTCTGTAGTATTAGTAGTACATCGCTTAACATCTGCTGCCACAATATCACAGACAAGTTGGAGAAGTCGAAACTGGATCTTGTGTATTAGAATAAGATTTTGCAATCTTTCCATAGTCTATGACTATGGAGTGGTTTAGTGGGAATTTCTTCCCTTTACTATATGAAATAAACATATGCGTTAAGTAGTGATGGATCATCAGTATCATTCTGTATCTAATGGTAATTAATGGTGTTATTTTATACATGAAAATTAGAAAACACATAGATTAAACAATAAGACTGCACTCTTAAACCATGAATCAGAAAACAACAAAAATTTTGGCAGGATTAATGGCACTGTTGATGGGAAGTGTATATTTACAGATTTTAAGCAGAAAATGCTGATCACATCAGATCGTCATATTGTGTTGTAGTGACAATTCGCAAGAGGCAATTTCCAACTTCTTCTGGCCCCAGACTCTCTAAATTGAGCTTGGTGAGGGGGGGGGGGGGGAGGGATAGTCCAAACCTCTACTCTGGATCTGTGCCCATATAGGCATATTAATAGTGGCCTATCCTGAATGGTAGGGGACAAAATAATGCCCAAGGCAAAAACTACCACCAAATATACTTTATTCTTAACTGTTAAAAACACTGTTATTGTTATACATGTCTGGTGTACATATATAAATGATAATAATACATTATTTACATATAGCTAAATGATTATATATAGGTCAAAGTTGAAAGGTTGTTCTAATCTTATTCATGACTACCAGTAGTAGGTTACTCCTTGTAAATGCCTGACATACATGTAGATATAAAGATAAGTATTGTTAAAATGTTGAAGTTTGTGTTATTATGTTTGATTATTTTGTGTTTAATACAAAATGTTAATAGCTTAGAGATAAAGGGTACTTATCATACCTGGTTAATAACTCTACCATTACCTACAGATATAGTTAAACATATGTTACCAGGTGAGTTGATCCATATTAATAATAATCATCAACTAATATTACATATCCTAATTTCTGTGACCAACTTGAACAAATTTTAAGTTGCCCATATGCCACAAGGAGTTTGTGGTTTAGTTCTAGGCTGCTATAATTATGGTTGGCATGGGGAGGATAGTGAATTTTGGACTGATAGCTTCTTAAGCCTAACCAATAATGGAGGGTACAAGTAAGTACCTTATAAGGTCAATAGTATCACAAAACCAGTGGTTGCAAGAAATGGACAGAGAAAAAGCTAAAAATGAAAAAAAAAAATGTTTTTTGTACAATCAGGGGCCATAATCCAGAAAGTTACAGTCTAATATATCGAAAGGAACAGAGATCTTTGGGTTATAAACATACATTTCAAGTTTAATCAAAATCGGATAAAAATTATCACCTATAGAGTGTCCACAACCTAAAAACGTGATTTTTCGTACAATCAGGGGCCATAATCCATGCAGTTATAGTCTGATACATGCCAATTTTGAAAGGAACCAAGATCTTTGGAAGAAAAACCTATATTTCAAGTTTCATCAAAATTGGATAAAAATTGTGACCTGTAGATTGCCCACAAACAAATTGTGGACGGATGGAAAGGGGCGACAACAATATATTATGTCCAAATGAAAATGTGGGTGCATAAAAAAGATTTTTTAATATTCTAATAATTAAAATTGTTAATGTACACAATTAACCTATATATACACATTAAAATGCACTAGAATTCACCAAATATTATGTGATACACTTTCCTCCACTTTCTGCTGGGATCAGTGAATCTCGTGCCAGAATGGTTTCGAGCGCCATTTGTAATGAAGTGACTCGATGAACGAAGCTAAACATATCCCACAGTAGAATACTACCAGTGTAGACTGGAATAACCAGATGCCAAAGACTGCCATTCAATTTGGATTCTTCGTGTAATTTGCTGAATATAACTGATTAGAAATTACAGTAAAAACAGAAAGGATTGAATGTAAATCAGTTTATATACATTCATATTACATTATTATATGCGTTGCAACCTATTTGTGTCCATTTCTAGGTGCTAAAGAATAGGGATTTAGCTCTTTTAATTGTCTTTGGTGTAGTATTGAGGAACTGGCATTGGAACGGCATCTATTAGGCTATAATTGTTTGGATGGGATGAAAAACTGTGGTGGTCTTAGAAGATTAAATGATGACACAAACAGGGGTAACTCTCTCCACATCCATGCCTCCATACATAATCAAGTGTTCTTTTTTGTCCACCTATGTTTCTAAAATGATATTTTTCTAAAATCAGTCAATAAAAAATGCCGAATGACCCATTTCCAGGGAGTTTTTTTATGGTTTGGTTGTGGGGTGGGGGCATAGTTAAAATAGACCCATACTAAACGAAAACTTATGGATGGATCTGCACTTGTTAAAAGATCTTTTATTAATTTCAGTTGGTGTGAGTCTTGTTACACCAACAGGATTCAGTCTTCCACCAGGCACCCATCCCATCATGTTAGAACTTGGCAGAGAACTCAACTGTGGTCCTGTCATCTTTAAATTCCTTCAAACCAACTTTATGGAGGCGAAATTTGATATTCCTTTTGTCCAGATAGAAAATAATTCTGGTATTTTTAACCTAAAACAGGTAGTTTATGTGGATAGTGTAGTTCAAAGTGTTGGCGCTTCTGTGACATACAAATTAAACAGTGCAAAGGCTGTTATGGAAATGACTGATTCCGTTTATAAAATAAATCATGAGAGTTCCACTCTTCAAGCTAATATCACTGAGGATGGTGACTGGGGAAAAGTTGAGGATTTGCCAAATTTTAATTTTTATGAAGCAGTTTTGCGTCAAACATGGTTTGGAAAAGACATTCATACATGTGGACAACACACCTACGATCTGAGTGATGCTAATGTAAAACCTGTAAAAGCTACTCTTCAGGCGACAGCAGGACTATTCAATGATTATTTTCCACTGAGTAAATTCATTGTTGAAAGTATTCAACAGCCACTAGGTGCTGTAGAGGCATATATGAATTTCACCATAGCGTCTCCACAGAAATGTTGAATATTAAAGTATTTTTTTAAAGCCACTGATCGTCATTTGAGGGATTTTATATGCCTTGCAAACTTTAACATTGTGAAAGTTGAAACCCTAAAAGGAAAATTAGTTCAAACATGGTTTAATTCTGTGCAGTATTTAAAATGATACGATGAATTGAGTCTGAAAATGTCTCAAAGTTCTTCATCCTCTGCAGACGATAAGTCAGCACCAAGCACCATCTATAAAATCTTTTGATGGCTCTTCTGTTACTGAACTGAACCCATGCCAGGATATTATCTACCGGTGATTTTTTGGTTTTGTTTTCTTAATCCAATGTTCCAACCTGGTGGGTTTTCTCTGGGTCCTCCGGTTTCCTCCCACTGCTAAAGACCCCTACGGGCAAGCGAATTATTGAAATAAAATTAAACCATATGTTAGTCCCGAAATGACCTAGTTTGTGTCGAGTGGACATTAAACCCCATTTTCCTCTCTCTGTTTAATCCAATGTTATATAATCTATTTGCGTATGTTTTAGTGTAAAGTATATTGTCCGGAAATGTTCATCAGCCGCTTTAATGAACTTGCAGTTGTGTAAGATCCTAAATGATTGACTGCAATAAAAAAAAAAATTCTTACCCAAGGTAAATTATAATCTATATATATCAAAGAGTCATTCCGGGGATGCTTTGCAAAGTGGGAAAAGTTGAGCAAGATACTCTGTCAAATTCTCCTCTGTTCATTTTGGAATGGGTTAGCACCATTTTTTAACTGATGTTCAAGTATTGTGGAGAAAATATGTACACTTGTAATTGCCAAGTGGTTCCTTCCCAATATTTCAGCCAAACATATTTCAATCTTCTGATTTTAAAACTATAAATTTGAGCTCTTAAAATTGCTAAATTAAATTTCTAATGACCTTTTGCTAGTGAGTGTAACACAATAAAATATATGTAAATATTTATTTGTCAAGTAAACTGATTTAAATATTTCATCTTTTTCTGTGATAATTATGTTGAACAAAAGCCAAACATACAGAATACATTTTAATTGGTACAATCATGGTATGATATATATGATTAGATCTAGCAAATGAAGACACAAATTAACAAATGAATACACTATCTTTTTGAAACTAATCTAATTTGAAACAACTTTAGAAGCCAAACAAAAATTCAATAGAAAAGACAGAAACAAGAATATTTTCATTCATACCAAAAGAATGGTCTGAAAAATAGCTTATCTCTCTCTTACTAAATCAAATGGTGTTTGGGTAACTATATAATGATAATAATTGCAATACAAATTTTAATACTGACTAGATTGTCATTTTTACAGATTTAAATACATGTAAAAGATAGGTTGCCAGGCAACAAAAATACGCCCACAGCAACTAAATTGTCCGGTCAGTCAACAAGAGTTGTAGCATATTTTTTACTTTTGTCGCTAATGAAACATTTATAATACACTCAAATCTGATTAAGAGTAACAATTCATTAAGTAATTATCAGAAAATCATTAGAATTTGTCTGTCCCATGCTAACATTTAGTATACAAAACATTTAATACCATGGATTTAGCTGTTCAAGTTATCAAAAATCATTGAAAATCAATATACTTGTTCGTCTCAAGACCATCAACTCTGTGTATCAATCTAAAGTCAATCGAAACAATGTCAACACGGTGTATAAATATAAAATCATGACCTGATGACCTTAAACACTATGTATAAATTTAAAGTCAATCGGATATTAACTTTAGCCTTTAGAGCGTCCACAAGATTTTTCAAAGTTATCAAGGGCCATAACTCTGGCAGTAAATATCGGAAATTTGTAAAAATCAATGGGCTTCTTCGTCTCATGGCCTTATATACTGTGAATAAACTTAAAGTCAATCGGATATTAACTGTAGCCTCTAGAGCGTCCACAAGATTTTTCAAAGTTATCAAGGGCCATAACTCTGGCAGTAATTATCGGAAATAAGTGAAAATGAATGGGCTTCTTTGTCTCATGGCCTTATATACTGTGAATAAATTTAAAGTCAATCAGATATTAACTGTAGCCTCTATGGTCGGGGGCAACAACAATATAAAACCACATTTCAATGTGGGCATATAAAAACAAAATGAAGAATATCTCAAAGATAACACAATCTTGCATTATTTAAGCCAAATAATAAAGGCAAATACCAACCAAATAAAATGAAAATAAAACAAAGGCATGCGACTCGATGAACGAAGCTAAACTATCCCACAGAAGAATACTACCATTGTAGACTAGAATAACCAGATGCCAAAGACTGCCATTCAATTTGGACTCTTTGCATATTTCACCGAACATAACTAATTTCAAATTAGAGTAAAAACGGAAATGATTGACTGTAAAATCAGTTTATATACATTCATACCCTATTACACTATTATATGCGTTGCGACGCATTTGTGTCCATTTCTAGGTGCCCAAAAAAAGAGATTTAGCTCCTTTAATTGTATCAGTTCATATATTCTTATTGCTATAGCAAGTTAAATTATACAGTTGTTATTTTATTGAATATAAATATAATTAAATAATATATATAAGCTTGTATAAATATATCAATAAAGTATAGAGATATAAAATAAACCAATAAATGTTTAATATTTTGATATCAACAATATTTCAAGGAATAATAGGATAAACATTTTAAATAAAGGTCCACTGTAATTCCTGATATATTTGTCTATCTGTTTCTAGTAGCTTTATGATGTGTTAGTATTATTTCAACAAATGAAACTCAAAGTGGACCTTTATTCAACTCCAATACCACAAGTGCTAATTTCTCAATTATCTATTTATTAGGCTTTTAACTAATTAAAGCACGACCAATAATCTTTAAACTATATAATATATCTACATTCTAAATTTCATACTATTATGGACTGTGTTTAAACTCCACTTATAGTGATGTAATATTAAAAAGTGAATAAATAATTTGTAAAAATGAGACTGAATCCCTCAATGTCTGATTATACAAGAAACACAATATGTTTATATGATAGAAATATAAGTACCTGTAACAGTATAGCAAAGTCCAAAAGGGTCAGTGTGCCCAAGGTTAGATTTGTCGTTGATTCCATAATGTAGTATGGTTTTTGAATGTTTAATACTGAGTAATTCAACATGGCGCCTGAGGGGTTTAATATATTTAGGTTAGTACCAAATAGTTTAATTATATGACAGTCAAGGTTCGGACTAAAATGCCTTGGAAATCGGGAGTGGGAGGCGACTGATATTTGTCTTTCTTTTTTAGATCGAGATGAGATTGTCCGTTGAATTAACTGGACGGTCAACTTTCTACCTCTGGGCGTTCCAACTTTAGATTTATATTTAGCCTCACAGGTGTTACCTCAACATCCTTGTCTATATACCAACCTTTTATTGTTATGACGAGTAACATGTCTCAATCCAACACAATGCATCGTAGTTAGCATAAATATGGACACTAGCACTTTAATCTAAACCATCAGTCATCAAATCTCTGTACAATCCGAGTAAGCAAGCTACCAACCCTGGTAATAAATTCACAAACGCCGCCAAGAGACCAACCCTGGTAACCCCGCCAATTAGTCACCATGGAAACCCTGGGGTTTCTGAATAGTATAAATAAAAAAGCATGCAAAGCGAGACCAATCAGTCAGGCTGAAGAGTTCAATACGAACCAAACTAGTCACTGATACTCAGGGAAAACCAGGTCTTCATAGCCACTCTTATAATATCTGTAACAGTATTAAAGCAAACAGACTGATGTCCAATGCCTGAAACCCAAAATAATTAATTACTTGCAATCAAGCAATCAAACTGTTTTCATTCCCCCTCATTTAGAAGCTTGATTTATTGTGTTCAAAAGTCTTTGGCAATCAAATCGCTTATCTCTGCTTAACCCAAGCAGAAAATACTGATCATCGAACTCAGTCAACAGTCAATACATTCACATACTGTTGAACATCATCTACACCAAGCTTAAACATTCTACCTCAATTAGAAGCAGAGTTATTGTGTCCCAAAAAGTGGGACAGAGATGCAAAAACATCTTTTAATAATATGTAGATTTTAGAAATAGTTGAAAAAAAAAGAAGCATGAAATGAAATGGGGTTAAACGTCCTACTGATCTGCTCCGCTGGAGATAATGAAGACGGGCATACGCCATACAGTGTGCTACAAGGGAAATTTTGCCCGGGCAGCAACACTATGGCCTACACTTATATCGAATTGCATCTGCCAAGGGATCTTTTATGCGCACGCCAATGTATACACAGGACCTCAGTTTTTTGTCTCATCCAAATGACTGGACAGCTGTCCTTATCAGGTCCTCCGTCCTGCAAAACTGACAAGGGGAAACCACGTCGGAAAATCCCGATGAACTTTCTTGGCCAATGCAGGGAAACACGCGACCTCCAGGCTAGCGACCCAGCGTCTTACCCACTTAGCCACCGTGGCTCCCGAAAAATAAGCAAGTATCTATAACATAATAAAGGTTAATAACAAAGTAACAAATAATAGAACATGCATATAGTTAAACATATATATCTATTCTATAAAAATCTTAATGTTTGATTGATACCCACAGTAAGAACCCATTCCATCCTGTTGAATTTCAGGTCTACAAATCCTTATCTGAGATGAATCCACCCATCCATTCAATCGATATAGGTGATACAAATTGTTAGTTTCTAACTAATTTACTCAAATCTGTGAATTTATAACTGATTTACTGAAAAATTGTTAGTTTTAACTAATTAAATGAAAACTGAACATTTGTAAACCTGACGCTTTTCCATGTGTATATACACTATATATATAATACTGATATAATGGATTTGAAAGCAAGTCTAAGCTTATATAAATTCATATCCCTGGCTACATTTAAACTAGACAGGTCTTTTGTTAATTCTAAACAATTGTTACAACATTCTAAACAGTAGTCTCGTAATTAACATGGAACACAGTAAATTCAGAAAACCTTTTCTTAAGTGTAGTGAGTTATCACTGTTTAAAGCTGCCGATCATTTGAGGGATTTTGAAACAACAATATTGTGAACGTCGAATCTCAAAAGGGAATATCATCAATCTAAAAATAGTTAATTCTGATTAGCTACAAAATAGCTACAAGATAAACAAACCAGCACCACCTATATAAGTGTCGGATGGAATTGTTTGATGGGGCCTTTTTAAATACAATTGAATCCAAGTCGAAAAATTATATATACCATTGATATTTTCTTTTCTTAATCAAACAGTAAATAATAAATCTGAGTAGATTTCAGGGTGGATTAGCCGTGAAAAATTAATTATTGTCTACAAAAGGCAAATGATGATCAGCTTTAAATCAAGATAAATGATACAAGATATAATTGCAAGCTTTAATAACATCTTTTCATTTTTTCTTAATTTTGTTTTTGTTTGCTTGACTTTCTTTTAATTTTAGATAAACCTCATGATCTTCTTTCATAAGACACCATGGGGTAAAGTCTAAATCACATTTTAACTTGACATTTATAACTGTTACACAGCCATCATCAATAGTTAATTCATGTTTACTATCCACTGTATAATCAACAGAATTCACTCCTGTTATTTTATCTAATCGTCTTGTTTTCTGAAATAAAGATTAGAGTAATATAAGTTGAAGAAATGAATGTGACTTTAAGGGGTTGGCATAAATGTGTATTGAAATAAATGTGACCTGAAGTGGTTTGTCAAAAATGTGTACTGAAGTTAATGATTAGGAGGGGTTTGACATACAAGTTTATTGAAACAGATGTGTATTGAAACTGATGTGACTGAAGGAGGTTGGCATAGATGTGTATTAAATTAATTTTAACCACTCTATCGTCTGTCCTAACATCATGATAACTAGATATGGCTTTTTTTTATATTCATACACCAGTGGCGTGCTGGGCCCTCCATAGTAGGGTAGACAGACCAAACTTATGGCACTTATTGGGGGCAGGGATATTTGGTTCTTTGGCACATACTAGAATCGAAGAGTAGATGAAAAGGCTGCAGCTGTCCGGGTAATATTTTCCTTGTAGCAGACTGCATGGCATTGCCCTTATTCATTAGGCTGGTTGGCGTAGAAAAGAGATTAAACCTCATTCCATTTGATTTCATTTCTAAACCTGAACTGTTAATCAGATAATTTCAGATTTATTTCATTCCAATCAATGAAATGGCGATTGAGGACAGACGAAAATATCAATTCAAACGAAAGCTAGGTCATTCCTTCAATCTAGTTTACTGTTAATTAAAAGTAGAAACAAGCAATTAACCAACTCAATAAATGTGATTGTTGCTAAAATAAACATTTTATTGTTCTTTTTAACAAGACAATTTGTATTATTTTACGTAGTAATTTCGTGTAATTTTACATACAGTTAAAACAAGACAACAGATGTTTGTGGATGGGTGCCATCATATGATCTGTTTGATACCCTATTCCAAACAAATGGAAATGAAATAAAATGTGATTTACTGGTAATGTCCTACTGTTCTGAAATCTACTGGGCTAATGAATACGGGCATACGCAATACACTCTGCTATGAGGGAAATGAAATGAAATATCTTGCCCGGACATCGCGCTTCTTTAACATTCACATAATGACTGGTCGCTATTCTTTGCCCGTCCTCCTTTGTGCACCCCGTGGCATTTTGGAGCCTCATAAGTAGGGTTGGCATACCAAACTCAGGGCACTTATTGGAGCGGGGAGGGACTTACCCTTAGCAGAAAATGCTCATCTTCAAACGCCTACACCAAGTTTGAACATTCTACCTCAATTAGAAGAAGAGTTATTATGTTCTTGGCCAATCAATTTGCGTATCGTTTTGCTTACTCTGAGCAGAAAATACTCATTAGCGAACTTAGTCAAGGTATTGATGTAGTGAAACTATACACCAAGTTTCATCACTCTCACTCAGTTATTGTGTCCCAAAGCATCAACCAATCAAATCGCTTATCTCTGCTTACCCCAAGCAGAAAATATTCGTCTTCGCACTCCATCAAGGTATTCACATAATAAACACATACACCAAGTTTGAACATTCTACCTCAAATAGAAGCAGAGTTATTGTGTCCCAAAAAGTGTGACGGACAGACAGACAAACCCATTTTAATAGTCCACAGCTTTCTTCAAAAGGCGGGGGGACAACATAATATGTGAAATCTAATCTGGAAGCCATCAGTGAAAATCAGCGCCAGGTTAAGCTAGCTTAAAATTTCACAAGGGCAATTGCCTCAACAGTAAAAAAAAACAAAAACAGGCATATTCTGGTCATTGTTTGTCTTGCACAAATGCAATATGTATGTCGGTAGGGTTAATAGATAGATTTATTTGGCACAACATAATAAATCAATTCATAAATTATTATTTAGAACTAATTTGGGGACCACTTTAACACTAGGGCTCCTGTCTGCACCCTGGTCAGCCCCACCACTTAGTATGTAGAAATTTTTGCCCAACTCCCACACATTTAGATCCAGGGCCAGTTGTTTTCAGTGGTGGATCATCATATAAGTTTTAACTGGTTTCCTGTTCCACTGAGGTTGAGAGCCAACAAGCAAGGAGGATTGATCAGTGATGCATGTACATACATTGAGCGTGATTGGTTTTTAGTTTCGCTGGATCTGTTTGGAACAAGGGAAGGGCAGCAGGAAGAGGGGGGGGGGGCAATCTTGTCAGTGGGGCAATGGAAATATGATGACATTGACGTGGGCATTTCCATGATTATTTGCAGTAATTCTTTCGAATTTCGAGGGCACTTTTTCAGAAGAGAGGGCAGTTTTATGGAAGGAGGATTGATCAGTGATGCATGTACATACATTGAGCGTGATTGGTTTTTAGTTTCGCTGGATCTGTTTGGAACAAGGGAAGGGCAGCAGGAAGAGGGGGGGGGGGGCAATCTTGTCAGTGGGGCAATGGAAATATGATGACATTGACATTTCCATGATTATTTGCAGTAATTCTTTCGAATTTCGAGGGCACTTTTTCAGAAGAGAGGGCAGTTTTATGGAAGGGAGGGCACATAGCGACACATATATCCCAATACCCTGGTAGGAAATCTCATTGGATTCAAGAGTTATCAACCATTTCAGTTTTCTTTGTTTTAGTCTACCCTGCCTAAACGCCTCTATCATACACTATTTAAATATCAAGCAGTTAATCTTTGTTGATTAGTTTGTTTTTTTTACAGGTGTTACGTTTGACAAAAATGCCGATTGACTTGTGGAATTACCTGTATTGTATATAAAATTTTCAGATGCTGAAGCATTTTTTTCTTGTAAAAATATTATTCTATTAACTACAAATACAAAGGTGATACAAAAGAAGAATATCAGTTTGTCAGCTCTGTGAACTGCAAAATAGCATAATACAAATAGCCCCAGAAAGAGTATACAAATCTTGCATTGTGCATGACACCTGTTACAAATGGAGTGACAATTTGGACCAGGATTCCAAAGCTGAAGCTATAACAACATACAATAAATAAATGAAATGAAATAGGGTTTAACGTCCTACAGTTCTGCTCCAATATAATTTTTATTTTAGTTTTTCAAAGTGTATCCAAACTTCTATGAGAATAAGTACCTATTAATGAATTGAAAGCAGAATAATAAACTACTTCTTTACCTCTTTTTGATCAAAGAATCTACTTTTATCTCTGGTTCGACGTCTGTCATGTACATGTTTAAATGTCTGATTACCTGTTGTTATTCCAACTGGTCGTGTGATCTGAAAAAAACAAGTGGTTGCCATGCAAGATTCGCCTAAATTTTGCAAGAGATAAAAAAAAAGTTATTTTCCTACAATAAGGGGTCATAATCCATGATGTTACTGGCTGACATGCTTCAAAATCAAAAGGAACTGAGAAATTTGGGATATAAACATACAGCATATTTCAAGTTACATCAAAATCGGAAATTCGAACTCAACCATCATTAGGATGTAACGGTGATATATTTGAAAGGTTTTTAAAATTAGACAAAAATTGTGACCTATTAAGCAGTGATTATCAATCAGTGTGCCACTGCACAAGATCTTCCTAATTGTGCCGCAAAATTTTGAACAGCACACAAAGAAAATGTGAAAAACCATGTGATCCTAACTGAGTATCTGGTGTCTACTGATAAGTTCATAGCTGCTTTTTTCTTCACTTAGTTTGAGTCATTCTATAATCTATGACTAGTCTCCATCTATGGTTGTATGCTGTTTGACATACCATATTTATATATTTTGCAAAATTCAGATATTTTGCATTTATATTTAGCCAGGTGTGCCAATATTTTTTCATGTGTTCCAAGGTGTGCCGTGCCATGGTAAAAAAAAGGTTGAGGACTACTCCCTCTAGACTGACCACAAGCAAAAAATGTGATTTTTTTTTCGTACAATCAGTGTCCATAATCCAGACAGTTATTCCAAGATCTGTGGTTTATAATAATCACAAATTTCAAGTTTCATCAAAATTGGATAATTATTGTGACCTTTAGTGACCACAAGCTAAAATGGTGATTTTTCGTACAATCAGGGGCCATATCAAAAGGAACTGAGATGTTTGGGACATAAACCTATATTTCAAGTTTTGTCAAAATCGGATAAAAATTGTGACCTGTAGAGTGTAGATGTTGAGCGCAGATTACCCTCCTCAGACAGATTACTCCCGTGCATGCGCGAATCTCCGTCTAATCTGCGCGCGCGAAGTGAACTTTGTCCGGACTAAAATGGATTACCGCGATGACAATCCGCCTAATCTTACTCGGTATTCACTATGGATCAGTGCGTTAGTATTAGTCATTTTAATGATTACATTTTAATGAATTTTGTGACCCTCAGTTAACTGGTCGAGCAAATCGGAGCAAATCGATACGGAAAGAAAAGTATCACCGCATTTGACTACCAGAAAAGAAGCAGTAGAAGGGCTTTTGAGTTATAAAGCAGTTTCCATCGAGAGGTCTATATGACATACTTTGTTAACCTACATACGGGCCTCTAAGACTTCGTTACTAAAGTAACTACGATCGGTCAAACGATTATTACACTACAGCAAATATTTTTGACATTCAGTCACAAGCTAATTATGCAGTGATTTTGAAAATTATTTCACTACAAAGACCACAGGAGGCAGGTCATATATAATATAATATATAATTGTGTCTGACACATTACAATATCTCTAAAAACATCAGGGGGTAATCAGCGCAAAGTTGGCAATCTGTGCACCAGCTTCATAAGCGCAGATTGCAATCTGCGCGTGCGGAGTGCAATCTGCGCCTAACATACACAAACAAAATGTGACCGGATGCTGAATTTTTATTTTATTGTTAGTTCATCAATACTGGAAGGGTAACATATACAACAACTGAACAACAGTATATTTAATGGAATTTATAGTTATAATACTAGTATATAATTCTGTATTAACAAACCGTAATGCCAAGTTTCTTCATACGAACAAAAAACTCATCATCTTCAAGACCCCAACCCCAATATTTATTAGATAAACCATTTAACTAAGGAATAAAGGAAAATCATTAGGCTATTATACATACAAATATAACCAATATCTTTAATTAAATGATGAATATAAAATTACTTAGTGAGATTATGGATATTATCAGTAGCCTACCATCAAACTGTTCTTAGTGTCACGTTTACCTTACAATAACTGATACCTGACAGCAGCAAGATATACATATATGCAACACTGTAATAATAACTTATTTAATAAGGTATAATGAATATTCATAGTAGAATCAGTTTCTGTTATGTCGTCTGTATACCTGAACCCAAACTTCCTCAGACTTTACATTTGCACTTATATCTAGGCATCTCTAAAGGTGAACAGTGTAAAATATCAAGTCAAGTGATATCTACAACAATCACAATCTAAAGGAGTTTCAACATGCATTATTTCCAACATATTTGTTAAGATGAAGTCTGTAGCGAGGTGGACATAATTCATAACATAAAGGGGCTTCATCTTTTTTGCGTTACCTCTCGGTCAAATTAATTAGTAATTTGGGTTGATCCAATCTGTTACTTCTACTAGAATTATGGGCCAAGATCTGTACGATTAATAATTTGTTTTAAAAATTATTTTAAAAATTAAGTAATCTCGATTTCATTTTTGGCTTACTGTATCAACAGTGGGGCACAAATTAGGAAATATTTTAACACTGTCACCCGCTGTATCAATATGTATAGATAAATTTTCAATGAAGAGAATTTGTAATCCCACAATCAATTTAACATATAAAATTCAATGAAGTTGAATATTTGTTTTTTATTCCCAATTTCAGAGAGGGTTAGACCTTTTAGACATTCTACTCTTTAATACGATTAATCAGAAATCTCTTCTTTAAATCTACTGTTTATGATACTAACCTTTTCAAAATCACTGCCTTTCACTAATAGAATGCCACCAACAAACTTTTTGTAATGATATAAGGGATGTAACTCGGGTGCTGCAACATGAAAAGCTCCATTTTCAGGATAACTATAGCTCAGTGCTGGATTTAAAGGAAGAAGGTCAACATCATGCATAGCTATATAATCACATTGTGATTTACTTTCTAAAAAACCTATGTTGATCAAGGAAGCTCGATTAAATCTAAAAAAGAAGAATATTACAAATTGTAAAGCAAATGACAAAAAATGAAAAAAATAATTTTGTCCAATTCGTCTAAAAAACCTTTTTCTGCTGAACATTATATGGGGGGGGGGGGGAGGTATTGGACCGGCCATGGAGCCTGGAATGGGCTGGTATAATAGACTTTCTTGGCTAGGTTTGGGCCGGAATTCGGAATCCTGCAATGGGGATTCTGAATTTCATTCGAAAATATCATCGGATTCACCCAACACTGTCGCCCGCAAATTAACTAATTATTAAGTCACCTGCACCCTGTTTGTGGGTATACGCCAGAAACGTCTGCCGATGGTTCGTTACTCCAAAATAAATTCAATTTTAAGGCCTCAGCAAAATTTGATGATAGCTGGTCTTGAAGATACAATGATAATACGTTAATTAATAATATGACGATATGGTAATTTCACTGGTTGATGGTTGTAAATTATTTGCATGTCAGGGTTTTGGCCTAAATTAATCGATTTATCAGATATATTGTTTGACAGAGATTATAATCAGATATGCCACCAAATCGCATATTTGGAGTTCATTTTTCAAAATTTTCATGGGGGGGAGCCCCCAGTCCCCCCCATCCGGGCTCCGAGGTCAGTAAAAGGGGCCGCTCCGATACGGGGGCCCGGGCTGGTTCCCGGCCCCAACCCGCCCCTGTTTTCTAGCGACAGTCATTCACAGTATAAAAGTGAAATACATTTCGTAACTATCCATTAAAACGATCTAAGCAGCTCGAGTACTTTTAGATGACAATTTTTGAGTATGAAATGAGTAGGTATCTGTAACTGCTCATGAATAATAACACCGGAGAGAAATAACTTAGGCAGATTTTGTTACCTTACTGTGGATAGAAAAATGCAAACCAAATTACATCACCAAAATGTATCCATAATTTTGGCGGATCCATTAACCCTTTCACTGCGTATACCCGGTAGTACCGGGTATTATAAAATGTCGGTAAAATGCGCGTACCCGGTATTACCGTGTACTCAGTAAAGCCCTCGCTAAAATTAGTACCGTAACTGCAAGTGCCATCTATGGTATTTTCTATACACTAGAACATATTTCCACGTGTTTCAAAGCGTCAAACCGTAAAATGGCGGAGAGCATAGTGACAACGTAGACGATGCACTCTCCACGAAGTCGTGAATGACGTCTTGCTGACCAACACGTGGACAATTTCGAGGCGGGTGATACACATAATTCGTTTCCAGTTACTTGATAATGATAGTAGTCAGGACAGTGATTGGTATTATGAAGTGTGTGATTTGTTGCGCGACGTTCCGCCCATGGCTATAGCTATGTCTCCCGTGCATGATGAACAAGCCCAATGTGAACACGATAACCCTGTGTCTGCAGTAGATTCTGACAATAATTCTGATGTTGATAATAATGCTGGCCTGCTGGATCGTAAAAGACGTAGGCAATTCCTGAGTCCCGAACGTGTAGATCTATTGACTGACTATATTGATAATGATATGGGACTTGGGGATGAAAGTGAAAGTAAAAACAAGGTATTGCAATCCGCCCGTGGTCATGGCAGCGGGAGACGTGATGCGCGTGTTCGTGGCGGCATTGCTCATGGCTGCTATTGATATTTTTATTCATTTTATATATCTTTATCAAAATCCAGTGAAAAAAACAATATCTTTTAAGTATTTCATGAGAAATGAGTGAGAAATGAGAAATCCAAAATGGCCGCCATGACGTCACGTGACTACATTATTATGCAAATTTCCAAAATTCGATTTTTTTCTCTTAGCCCAACCTCATGCCCATCCCAACAGACAAAAAGATTTTTCATAAAAGCTTCCATAAGTACTGCTTGGCATTCAGTTCCAACCTCCCTTTTTTCCTCAAAAAAGGGTCTAGCACAGGCAGTGGATTTACGTCTAGCATTGAAAGGGTTAAACATTTGAAATAAGTTAATCTTGTTGATCAAAAAAGAAATAATCTTATAAATTACCTATAATTATCTATTTGGTTTATTGCAAATATTTTGTGGTGAACTTTTTGTGCATTTAAAAACTTTGTCATATGGGGAACAAAGTCCATAAGTTCTTCAAATCTATCACGAAATGGAACTATAACAGCTAACCTATGACCAGTAGCTGGAGATTCATCTTCATGTTTATTAATCACATTTTTAGTTTCTTCCCTAACAACATTTTCACCTTTGTCATCTTTTACTTCTCTGGTATTTTTTTGTTCTTGTATTGGATAAAGGGCAAGAAAACATGATCCAATTATTGTCAACATTAAAATGAAGAACAGAAAAAGTCTGTATTTGTAGAACACTCTTCGAAGAACTCTTGCCATCCATTAATTTAAACTTCCACACACTTGGTGATGTTTTGTCTTTTAAATCTCTTTATTCTTATAGTGAGTCATTCCATTTAACTAAGTTTCTTTCTTAATTAAAGATCACACCTGAAAGTAGAATAAAAGTTCTAATAAAGCTTAGATTCACTGATCATCATTTCAGAAAACTTGAATCCTTTGCAGAATCTTCAATGGTGTGGAAGTTGAATCACTATAAGGGATATCACTAATATCAGTCATAAAATGGTTCAATTCTGTTCGGTATTATAAAGGTAGGATGAATAGAAAAGTCAAGACAATAAACATTCAAAATGCACAATCGGTATCAGCAACTTTCAAGGTGTAAACTAAATCTTCCGATACATTGATGACATAACCACTATCTGTGATAACAAGCATAAAACTGAAATATATACGCTACTGAATTAGAACTACCAGCTGCAAACTGTTCTGGACATGGATATAAATATAAATAACAGTAAATTTAATATCAGTATGCTCGACAAAACAAAGTTATGAAACACATCACTTAATAGTAACATACCAGATGTCACTCTATATACATGTAATGTGTTCTATTCTATTTTTAACAATATGTTACGATAAAGAACTATTTATTTCTAGAATTGAATAAGATCTTTTTATTTTAAATGCACTGCTAAGGGTGGTACACATAAACGTCTTTTGAAAGAAATTTCGGAACTTTCATTTCTTCAACATACCAAGTTTGACATTTCTTACATAAATGAAATAAAATGAAATGGGGTTTAATGTCCCACTGTTCTGCTCCGACCGGGTTAATGACGACGAGCATATGCCATACAGTGTGCAATGAGGGAAATTTTGCCCTGGCAGTGGCACTATGACCTACTCTTATATCAATTTCCTACTGCCAAGGGATCTTCTATGTGCACGCCAATGTATAGACGGGGTTCTCAGTTTTTCATCCCATCCAAACAACTAGACAGCTGTCCTTGTCAGGCCAACGTCTGTTACAAATAGCTGATTATATTTTGTGTAATGATATATTTGAATAACATCTATTTTGTTCCTAAATTGTTAAAGATGCAATGTGTAACACTTTAGCAGTTCTTGCTAAAAAAGTTCCAAAATAGATAATTCAAAATTAATATACTGAAAATTCAAATTACTGTATTCAGAAATGAACTATAATTTAAACACAGGTACATCTGTCATGTGTCTTCTACATTGTCAAAATATCAGGTGAATAACAGGATATGGGGTCTGGAGTCAAGGCTAATCTGTTATTAATTGCATTAGAAGAAATCTGGGCATATAAAAGCGCAAGACTTCGGCTCTACAAAATAGACACCATGTAGATTATTTAGACACGATTGGTGGGTTCTTTAGGACACACCATTGAGATTGAAGAGACACCATCTGGATTCATTAGTCCCTGTTGATTCGCAGGAGAGCCATGATGAAGTGGGTTCTGTCAGTAGTGAGGTTGAGACAGACTAAAAGGCATGTTAATTTTATGTAGTCTATGCTTGTAACCATGTATCCTGCTTCTGACATATAAAGTTGTATCCAAGAAACTGTTGTATTGTTGTATCTGATAACAATATAGTTAGCTGTTGAAAATACGTACACAACAATAGATTTTAAAGTTAAGTCCTAACAGAAGACAATTATAACAAGTAAACAGTGAGGCTGATGTCCCCCGCTGAAATCCAAAAATAAATGACACATATTAATTAATTGCACATGTATCTTTTTCAGAAGTATCGAGCAATCAAACTGATTATCAACACTAAGTTTCATCACTCTCCAACAGTAAGAATCAAAGCTATCCTGTTCCAAAGTATTGACCAATGAAATAGCTTGTCTCTGCTTAGCTTTAGCGGGAAATGTTAATCATTGAACTCAGTCAGGAGTCTTGACTCAAGACATTCACCTAATTAACATCTACCTCAATTAAACGCAGAGTTGTTATGTTCAAAAGTCTTGACTAATCAAATTGCTTCTTGCTCCTTAAGACTTAGCAGAAGATTCTCATCCTCGAACTTTGTCAAGGTAATGATATAATGAATCTATACCCGGAGTTTCATCGCTCTCACCTATTTAGAATCAAAGTTTTTGCGTTCCAAATTCTCAAACACTCAAATTCCTTATCTCTGCTTAGCTTTAGTGAAAAATAGACACCTACACCAAGTTTGAACATTCTACCTCAATTAGAAGGAGAATTATTGTCTTCCAAAGTCTCGACCAATCAGATAGAAGTCTCTACTTTGCCTATACAGAGAATGCTCAGCATCGAACTTTGTTTTAAGTTATTAATGTAATTGAACTATACATCAAGTTTCACCACTATCACTCAATTAGAATCAACGATGTCGAGCTCCAAAGACTCAACCAATCATATTGCTTATCACTCTGCTTAGCCTGAGCCGAAAATGCTCATTATCAACTTATTCAAGGTATTGATGTGATGTCACTTTACACCAAGTTTCATCACTCGGACTTAATTATAACCAAAGCATCAACCTATCAAATTGCTTATCTATCGCAGCTTACTGTAAGCAGACAATGCTCAACTTTGAACTCCATCTAGGCATTCACCTAATGAACACCTACAACAAGTTTGAACATTCTACCTCAATTAGAAGGAGAGTTATTGTGTTCCAAAGTCTTGACCAATCAAATTGCTTATCCTTATGCTTACCCTGAGCAGAAAATGTTCATTATCGAACTTAGTCATGGTACTGATGTCATGAAACTATACACCAAACTTCATCACTCTCACTGAATTAGAACTAAAGTTAAAGTTATCGTGTCCCTAAGCATCAACCAATCAAATTGCTTATCTCTGATTACCCTAAGCAGAAAAGTCTTATCTTCGAACTCCATCAAGGCATTGCCATTCACCTAATGAACACCAACACCAGGTTTGAACATTTTACCTCAATTAGAAGGTGAGTTATTGTGTTCCAAAGTCTTGACCAATCAAATTACTTATCCTTATGCTTACCCTGAGCAAAAAATGCTCATTATCGAACTTAGTCATGGGACTGATATCATGAAACTATATACCAAACTTCATCACTCTCACTTAATCAGAACTAAATTAAAACTTATCGTGACAGACAGACAGACAGACAGTCCAGACAGACAGGCGGGGGACAATAAGATCCATGCAAGAGACAAATCTAGGCGATCATCAGGCTAACAAAGATGTGTAGCAGGAGAATATGTCACACTTTGGATGTGGTATACCATTCAAAACTTTGTATCAAATTAAATTTAACATAGTGCATCAAAGAATAATTCATTAGGCTTGACCCATTTAGTTACTTCAACACTATTAAAAGTATACGAACCGTCCTTGCCAGACAAATATCTTCCATTTATTATTCTTAAACCTGTTGCCAAGGACACATTTTTAATAATTCTCTACCAAAACTATTTATAGTTTTATCCATATTGTTTCTCAACATCAGGATTATAAACAATTACTGTATATTAGATAATAGCTTATCCACTATTTCATTTAGTTTATCTTATCATAGGCCACAAAATCTTATTTAATAGATGTACGAGTATTAAGATTACCAACAGTAATAATAGCCTACTCATCTCCATGTCCACAATGAACAAAGATCAAGTTTTGATTATGATGTTTAGATGAGCTCTGCTCAAAATGATTAAGAGTCATTAACCATACGTTATGCAAGAGCTAAATCTACCTACTGTAGGTCTTTCTTTAGGCCTGAAATGTTATCTAAATTATTAATTAGACATTGATTAACGTATCCAGACCATAATCAACTCTGATGCTATCCCTAGCCTGCGATATTTACTGGATTTGAATACTTTTTGTGATGGATGATTTAACTACAAAATGGATAATTCAGACTTTAGTTTGTATCATACCGATCTTAGTAAAGATGATAGAGGCTAGGCCTAAAATTCAACCGCTGATATCTCCATTCAGACAGAGTGGAGAATTGCAGCCTTTCATTTTGGATTTTTTGGACTGACTGTTTTTCAAAATTCGGAAATTCGCTCAATTAGTTTTAGCATTAGAGATTTTCAGAAGTTTTCTTCAGCATTTTTTCGACATTCAAGATGGCGTATCTCCGTTACTATTTGAGGTATCAAGCTGAAACTTGGTAGGGATAAGAAACACATTGATGCAAAATGGCATATTGAAAGTTTTTGTAACGGCTTCTGGAAACTACCGAGGCCTTCCAATTTTTCCCAAACATGAATAGTTCTCTCCATTTTAAAAACTGTCTAACCTCGTGGGTTTTCTTCGGGTTCTTCGGTTTCCTCCCACTGCTAAAGGTCCCTACGCGCAAGCGAATCACTGAAATAAAATTGAACCATATGTTAGTCCCAAAATAATCTAGTTTGCGACGGATGGATGTTAAACCTCATTTCTCTCTCCATTTTAAAAATAGACTATTGTGGTATTAGCCCCAGATATTATCTTTTTTTTTCAGAGACCCTGTTCGATAAGATTTTCAACCGTTTGGCTGTCATATCAAATTTTACAAAAAGCCTTCAAATCGATATTCAGCCACTATTTCGATTCTGATTTTTGAAAACTTTTTTGTTTGTTTTGAACTGAGCTGATTTTTTAATTTCGATTTCATTTACTTCCAGTGTCTCTCTGAAATTTTTGGGACTCTAATCCGACTATCGCTGGTGACCTAGCCGTTCAATGAACCTTGACCTTAGCATATATGCTAACAACTAATATCAAAAAGTTTGGACTTGAAGTGTAACTTCTGGTATTATTAAAAGTTCAAAATGACAGGTTTTTTCCACTTTAATAGTTATTGGATGTTACTATGCTCAATAGTTTAAAGGAGCTAAGTCGCTAATATTTGGGACCTAGAAATTGACACAAAGGGGTCGCAACGCATACAATAATGTAATATGAATGTATAAGCTTATAAATTGATTTACATTCAATCGTTTCTGTTTTTACTGTAATTTCTAATCAGTTAGGTTCGGCAACATACGCCAGTATTCTCAATCGAATTTCAATCTCTATCTTCTGGTTATTCCAGTCTACGCCGATAGTATTTATTGGGCATGCTCTCCAGATAAGAATATGGCGTCACCAGTTGACATGACTTGTGGAATATGCCTAGCCTCGTTTTTCGAGTCCCTTATTACACATAGCACTGAAACGCATTATGATACACGATTCGTGTACCAATTGTAAAATGTTTATTTTGTCTTAAATATTGGATATCAGAAGGCCATCTTTTCCCGGTAAGATCACAACATCAATGTTGATTTAAACTGACAAATAAATCGTGTTTTCAATGTCGAAGATTTTGGATGATATTGAGTTAGAGACTTAGCTACTTTAAGGTGTAACTGTATTGTTGGCGTGGCAAGGTGTGACCTGACATGACCTGACGTACGAAACATGTCAGTACTCACACCGGTACCCCTTTCTAAACTGTGTGCATTTCTCCAGTCTAGCTCTTGAAATGCAGATGAAATAACAGATCCCTCCCAAAAATTGTTGTACACTTGAACACACCTGACATATGAAATGAACACATTTTTAGGGTTTCACATTGCGTATCTTGTGTGAAGCACTATTATTGTTTTTGTTAAGATTATTATTAGGGTTTCAATTTCGATTTCATTTTTGCGCCATTTCGATTTAAAGGTGAAAAATGGTGTAAAATTGAGCTATTTACAACCCATTCAGGCGTTTCATATTTTAAAATATTTCTTTGTGACTTTCATAAACTTGTAGCATTAATTCATACGAAGAGAATCTATCTCAAAATTAGTTTGTAATATGAGCAGTTGCCAAGAAATGGTCAATTTTGCAAGTGTCGCTTTTTATGCTATTTTGCCTGTAAAAGAGTCAATTATTATTGGATTTTCATAAAACTGATAACATTTGATGCGTAATGTCAATTGTGACTAGGTCAAACCAATTTAAAATTTTCAATATCATCGGAAATGATGTAATTTGGCCAAAAACTATATTTATAGCTTTCGAAACAAATAATTTATTCAGATGAGTCATATTTCTTATTTGTTTAAAATTTGGATATTTGATTCCAATCAACTAATAGAATGAACCCATGGGATCATATAGATATCACAAAATGGTTTCTAACTTGTTCAGTTGCGGAGAAATAGGCGATTTTCAACAGGTCACTTTCAAGGTTTTTGGTCCATAAAAGTGTCAATTATTATTCGATTTTCAGAAAATTTTCACTGTGTGATACCTAATGCCATTTACAATTTCATGTAAGTAATTTAAGATTTTCATTATCACCGGAAGTAACATCAATTTGGCAAAAACTGTATTTTCAGCCTTCAAAACAGGTATTTTATTCAAATGAGTCTGATTTGTAATGTTTTTAAAACTATGATATTTGATTCCAATCAACAAATAGATTGAACCCATACGTTCAAAAATGGTTTCTAACTTGTACGGTTGCAGAGAAATAGACAGTTTTCTACACATCACTTTTCAAGGTTTTTGGTCAATAAAAGTGGCAATTATTATTCGATTTACATAAAATTTTCACCATGTGATGCCTTATGCCATTTCTGATTTCATAAAACTAATTTAACATTTTCATTATCACCAGAAGTAATGTAATTTTGTCAGGATCACTTACATGTAACAAATGTATACAATGAATTGATATTGCTGGATTTGGTTGATTCTGCGTACATTTTACTTGATGTGTGCAATGCTTATATGGAAACCTGTTTAATGGTTTCATCGGTACCGGTAGTGACATATATGTTCACGGGTAACAGGGCACCGGAGAAACCCGTCATTACTGGATCGCAGTTCTAGTTATTTATTATTATTACCAAGCGGCAAATTAACCGAGTGATCTATTCTTATTTAAATTAAATTTAAAGAGGCGAAGTTAAAGTTAGGCCTATGGCCATAGCCATAGGGCCTAGGCATATATCACTCTCACAAGTCTCACCAGCAAGAAGAAAGAACTCAGAAGACAATATAAATTAAATTATAAATCGCATGAATATAACTAATTTTTAATAACAACCTCTGGCTCACCTACTTCCAGAAATTCCAAGTATTGGTCTACTTAGAGCAAAATAGTTTTCATGAGAGTTGGCTGCATACATAGACAAATAAGCTTATTATTATACCAAAACTGTTTCAAACTTGACGATATGTCAAACCCAGGATATCGGGCAGGAAATGTAATTAAGGGGAGGTAAATCTGATTTTGTGCTGTATGGACTAAGACTAGTAATTATTCCAGATTTGTTTAAACTGCAGAAACATGTGAGGTATATAGGACTAAGACTAGTAATTATTTCCCCTTATTTCATGATGGACGAATGTAGTGCGAGTTATAAATAGACAATTTTTCCCTTAATTTTTTTCTCCCCTCTTCCTGCATTTTTGGGTTGACTTTTTGGTCTAGAATTGGAGAAAAGGGATCAAATTTGCAATTTCATAGCAGTTTTGGGTAATACTGATGATATTACAGCGGAGGGATAGGGGGTGTAAAGTGTCTTTCTGCAGAGCAGTCATTGTGTCGGAAGTGAGATTTTCACCCCAGTCAACTTCAAATCCGTGTAGCAAAAAATCTAAATGGTCAACCCCCTACAAAATTATGATGAGGAGATTGCCAAATGTTGTCCCCATTGTGCCTATAAAGATTGGAACCAACGGAATGTTGAGAAAAAAGCTACAGCCTGTGATGTTACAGCCATTTAACATTGAAGTCAATGGGCAAATAATTGCTAGTCTGAGTCCGTATAGTCTCCATTAACCCGACTGATAGGTCGGTATTTTCCGTATATTTACGGTTCTTTCCGTTATAAACTTTGTTGTCTTGTGTATCCAGAACGTGTTTTATTTTCTTCATTGATATCCGAGACTTCGTACTCATGCGCAGTCTGTGAAGTATATCAGTCGACGCCATTTTTACTTAAATTTTATAGGTAAAAGTCGAACATGTCCCGCTATTCTCGTCCTCCAAACACATCTTTGTACATACGAAATGTACCAGATAATGCTAGGTGAGTATAGCGATTAACTGCGTAAAGGAAAATCCTTCAAACGCGATAGATATGACTCTTTCATTATGTAATTGTTGTTGGAAGAAAAAGTCAGTGCGTCATTCGTCGTTTCTTTGTTTTGGCGCACATGTTCGATGAGAATAGACATAGTCATAGTAACAAAACTATTAAACGGTCTGGAGGATTATGAACTAGCCACGAAATGCTTTGTTCACAAAGAAAAAGACAAGGCAATCACAACTAAAACTGAAAATTCAAAACAAAATAATAATAATGTAGGGGTTTCAGGTCAAAGTTTAAAATGACAGAAAAAAATTTAAAAAAAAAATAGTTTGTGAAAATATACTTCAAATGCTACCCCAAATTTTTTATTTCATTGAAATATTCTAATTAGATCTAAAGTTATGGGATTTTAAAATTCGAGATCGATGTCTATAATGTAATCAAAATTGAAAGTGCTCTTTAACACCAGTCAATACGTGCCATGACACTGAAAATAAGTGCTTTTTTTCAGTCTGAGTGACATAATAAGTGGTATTTTCCCTTCAGAATCGCAAGTACCATTTTTAAAACTCGAATCCGCACGTTATAGTTGGCTAAGATTTATTAAAATCGTAATAATTTGAATGATATTGATATGTCAACTATTTATAATCTGGATGATACCACAAAAAAGTAGGTTATATTTAGTCGAAATTTAGCAAATTTCAGTCAGCAAGCCAGTAGATTCCCGATTTCTACGACTGTAATTGTCGTAGCTTGCGGTATCACGCATCATTATAATCACAAAAACATTATCTCTCGTTTGATTGGTTCTATATTGAAATCCCCCAGAAACTAAGGTGCGGATTCACCAATAACGTCTTCTGTACATAAACGGTCATTTCGTTGACATTTCGAAAATTTTTAGCCTGAATCTTTGCAGATATTGAGATTGATATTAAACTATTACAATACAATTGCTAGTAATACATTTAAATAAAATATTCATTCAGAATCGTAGATTGAAGTGGGCTATATTTCAGCCGCTGGCTTTCAGATTTCACGCTAATGTCAAGTGACCTGAAACCCTTAATTAATGTATCACTAGGCCTATCATTAGTTAATATGCATTTAATATAATGTATCACTCGACAAAAGCTACCTTTAATTTATACCTTCGATAATTATTCCTTATTTCAATTAGTTCTAACACTTTTAGACATTGTTTTTTCATTAAAAAGTGAACTTTAGAATTGATTTTAGTTGTGGATATATTGTAAACCAGGAGTGCTTACATTATTATTAGAGATTGAATGTCAGTTAACTCATCCACTCAAAAAGTCTAGTTCAATTGTCCACAACAAACGTTGGTTGTGTCGTCCACAAAGCTATGGCGATTAAGTTGTTACTGGGCCCCCAAACTTCCCAGCAATGTAGCACAGGTGGTAAACGAATAAAAAAAATGCCTTAGATATACAATGTATCACGCTGCAGTATAGCCAAAGCCATTTGATGATCCTATAAATATACAAGCTGATTAATCATAGGTAGTAGGTCCAGTAAGTTGTCTTTGTGAAAATAGGCCAAGTGGCAAATGAAGATGTTTCAAGTTGGCACATTTACCAGAAATTTTGATATCCCATAGACTTGCTGGCTTTCACAACATGGCTAATACGGTACTTTACCGACTGATATCCCAAACTTAGAATTGGTTCAACTACTGATGTCTTCTGACTTGCCTCCAGCCACAGCAGTGGATCATTCTAAGGATGTCCTTTGTTGAGCAAGTTTTGTATTCATTTGATGATTAAAAAAAGTTTATGGCCTAAACTCCCTAATTTCAAATTAAATTGACCACAAACTGTACTTCAATAGCTTAACATATATATAATCAAGCAATTATTAAATATATAATAAGTATAAAACCTTTCAAGATGAATAAATTTAATCAAATCCAATGACAACGCAATATTTCTGTGGTTTTGAAAATGACTGCCAAACCAGAATTAGAACAGGACATTATTAACGGTAACCTCAAAAAGTAGAAAAACTGTTAAGAAGACATCCAACAAGACAAGTGAACGGTGTCGTTAAAAACTTTATTTTGGTCCAAATCTAAAAAGTCTAGATATTTTAAGTATTAAATTAATTTTAAGCTTTTGTGATATGACTGGTAAGAATCATCGAATCAGTATCAGATTTAAATCATTACCACAATTATGTAGAGATATTCATATGTGCACAAATACAAAACCCTGTCATTAATTAATAGTTGTCCTTGGCTTTCCTTTGGCACCTATCTGTCATCACAATAATTGATTGAACTATGTACATGTATGGTTATTGAAAACGGTGAACCATCTGAATGTATTACTCTTATGTTCATTAAAAAGTAGATGGGACTGGATTTTATCAAGCTTTATTTGTATGTTTTATGTATTATGTTTTGTTTGCTTTCAATTTCGATACAGAGCTGAAGAATTACGAAGTATGTTTGGAAAGTATGGTCCTATCACTGATGTCTACATCCCTACTGATTACTATACTCGTCGGTCGAGGGGATTTGCTTACATCCAATATCCTTCTATCATTTACTCATCATCCTCATCATTACTTTCATGTATTTCTTTAATCATAATGGTAGAGCATTGAATGTTTGGTTTTTTTTGGAGGCACCATTCTTGGGAATATAATCGTAACTGAAATTCTGGTAGGCCCTTGATTATTAAGCCTATAGAGCTCTTTATATTACCGTATTTGGAAACATTTACTTAGTTGCTTCGACATCATTTTATTATATTAAGATTGTATATTGTGCTTAATGGTTGTAAGAATCATTGGTGTTCAAAATTTCAAATCATACGCTTACATGTCAAAAGTCAAAATAATTCACTTGCATGCCATAGTCATTGTGCTCAGGGAGTTGTTTTTTCTTCATGCATGTTTCATTATCCACCCATCAAAAATCTATAATTTTAGAAAAATGTAATCTTTCAATCATATCATCAAAATAAGATTTATTCACTTGGTAGTGATGTGAAATATTTATTTCTTTTAGAAATCAGAGCACAGTAACAGACAAGGTAAAAGTAAAGTCAAGCCACCGTTATGGCAAAGATAAAGATCATAGAAAACACAGTTCGAGGTGACTGTCGTACAGAAAAATGGGGTTCTTAAAAGATTCAAGTCAAGCGTTTCAAAAAGATCAAGCAAACAGCCACAGACTGCTGTTTTGACTAACATATGCATTCAAAAGATCAAGACAGGATCATGGCACAGCACAAGAGCTTTAAGATTTGGCAAAGTAAAGACATGCATCAAGTCCAATTCCCTTGCAACCATAATACAAGTCTTGGCCTGCTGTCCTCACTAAGATCAGGGGTTAAAGGACCAGAACAAGCCTTCGATTCAGTCACAAAGCCATGGCAAAGGCCTCGTTCACTTAACACAAGCTCAAGTCCTTCTTGTACAGCACAGACAAAGCACAGTTTCATTGGTATTGTTTTTGACTAAATAGGGAGCAAGCAATGTTATTAGAATACCACAAATCTTTCAAAAGAATACATGGAAAAAGCACAGTTCACTTCAACTGGTAACTCTGGGTAAATTCCATATCCTAATAATATCAAATTTACTGATTCATGGCTACAAACATTTATGATAATAATAATATACAAAATTTTTAAAAGAATCTATGATCTAATCAAAACTGCGTTGCTGCCCATTTAATAAATTTAGTTAAAAAATACTGTGGAGGGTCTGAATAAAATGTGTAAAATTATATGTACATATATAATATGGCGGACATAAATTTAAAATGTTTTTTTAATGATTATGAATGACTCCTTAACAAAAGTTACATTTGAAGACCCAAGAGATGCTGATGATGCATTGTACCACCTGGACAGAACAAGATTCTATGGACGAGAATTAGAGATAGAATTTGCAAGAGGAGACAGAAAAAGTAATTTTAATTTTTTTCTTTTAGGGAATTTGTGTGATGACCAAATATTCATTTTAGTTGAGGTATATAGGCTTACTGATTCATAAACATGTAGCAGTAGGTTCTAGCAATACCCTCTAAACCATTTAAATTATTATTCAGAGAGACTACCAGCAGAGTACGCTTCAAGCAATTCAAAGTTAAACCCAAACAATATCCTGAAATATTGACCCATCTTAAACATACTTGAACCGGTTCCTTTAACTGAAATTAAACAAATGGTTATATTAAAGTAACCCAGAAAATCTGCTCATGTGATGTAAGATAATATGCAACTTTTGTTTTTTAATTGCCAGTTTGCTTATAATTTAATGTTTTGTGATATTTGCAGGCCCAAATCAGATGAGGAGAGGTAAAAACAATATCCCTATTCATTCACCAATCTGATGCTATTGTGAATTTTCGAAACCTGATTGAACTGGTTCCAAGAACGGCATTTAAACAAATGGTTGTATTAAAGCAACCCAGAAAACTTCTCAGATAATGTAAGATAATTTGCCGTTATATTTTTGAATTGCTAGTTTATGTTTATAGGTTAATATTTTGTCATATTTGCAGGTCCAAATCAGATGAGAGGTAAAGACCGAAGAAGGGGATATAATTCAAGATACGATGATGATGATAGACGAAGCCGTAGGCATCGAAGCAGAAGTCCAAGGTATTATGATAACTCTAAAGCTGTTGAATATTGAGCACTTTGTTATCAAAGTGAACCAGTAATAAAAATATGCCACTTTATACTGATATTTTAATCTATTTTATTTACTATTTTAAATAATAATTAAATTTCAGACGATCAAGAAGTCGAACACCTAGAAGAGACAGGCGATCACGCTCAAGATCCCGAAGCAGGTCTAGATCACATGATAGAAGACGATCGTCACCCGCTGAAAAAAGGTAATTACTAAACAACTTCTTAAATGTTTCAACACATTGTCCAAAATCATATTTCTTTATATACATATAAAAAAGAAAATTATTGTAAAGAATCAATTAAGTATCTTGTCAATGTATGCTTCGAATTAAAGATGTATTGTACCAGCACAGAGTCCATCACTAGTTCTGTCTCAAGACACAGTGCACTGTTTTGATTACATTGTGCAATCCTTCATTTACCCAGTTACAACTGAATTGATGGAAGATACAGGGGTAAATTGCACTGCAAAAACGGTGGGTCAGATTTCCCCAAATCAAGATTTGACGGTTGATTAGGAGCATGCCACCACGAATTCCTGAATGTCTGAGGATTATTAGAGCAATTACTCATTATTAAGACAAAAATCAAAAACGTCCATTTTCACTTTTGACGGCGTATGAACTGTTTATGTTCATGTGTAGGCAATTGGCCTGTTATTAACATACACTGGTTACCTCTAATAAAAACAGCAGTGGATTTCCGCAGTTTTGTATTGTTTCTGAAAATCCCTTACTTTTTTTTGAACAGTATTTATTAGATTTATGTTTGTCAGTAACTTTTATTTAATTGAATTTTATTGTCATTTCAGACGATCATACAGTCGATCTGCTTCCCGTTCTCCTGCCAGAAGATCAAGAAGTTTCTCTAAGAGTCGCTCCCCAGAATAAAATATATATTATTCGTTGTTTATAGTTGTAAATATTATCTGTATAATGTACCCTATCATTTGTCAACCACCATACTATCTTTTTTTCTTCAACTTTCATTTAATGTTGAGTCCTATTTGCATTTTACACAATACATAAAAACAAAATTGAAAAAATTAAATTTCAACTACAAGACTGTAAATGATCACTAAATTACTTTGTTTCAAATGTTTGGTTAGACATAATCATTTGTATAATAAGCATTAAATTCATATTTCAACTCGGAGGCCTATGGACTACATGGACATTAAATTATGTGTATTGAGTATCTTGTTTTCTAATTAGTACTATTTTAATATCCGTGCAGATATCCATTCTGTATTTTAAGAAGTTTCAGGCAGATTGTTAAAACATTTTGTTTATCATGTAATGTAAGTTTTTAATAAATCTAATGCAAATATTTTTGTTAATTATTCTGTCTGAAAAGGACTTTAGCTCTTGTTACATATAGTTATTGAACACAAAGATTCCTTGAAATAAGATCAGAATTATTTCATGCTTTGCGACATACATGTAGGTAAAAAAATTTGCACCAAAAATCCTGTGGTTTCAATGAATGAAGGGGACAGTGTTGACCCTATGCAATGCTCGGTAACAGGTGGAGACTCCCTTCCCCCACCAAAAACTTACTGCCCTGGTCCTGTGAATAGCTCTGCATTTACAGGGCAGTTAAATTGTTCCTTGGGGGGGGGAGACAGACTTGTGGGTGCTTCTTGGGATAGTCCAAGTGCCTAAGGGGTAAGGCTACCCGAAAAATGTGTTCTTAAATTCTAAAACTATTGAATTGAAAATGGCACAAGTAGTTAGGAAATGTAATAAACAAGGGAAAACTTGCATTAAAAAAAAAAAAAAAAAATTTTGCTACGGTAACACAATTTTGGGGAAAAAGTATGAAAAACGTTGGTACACCACATCTCCGACACTAATAAAGATAAATATCTCATTTTCGGACTGCTTATTCTTTAATGATAACCCTAAATCAGAGTTTTTTATACGCCCACATTATCATGTAGACGTATTATGCCGTCGCCCCTGTCCGTCCGTCCACAATTGTTTGTGTACTCTCTACAGGTCACAATTCTTATCCGATTTTGACGAAACTTGAAACATAGGTTTATCCCCAAAAGATCTCGGCTGCTTTCGATATTGGCATGTATCGGATCGAAACTTAATGGATTATGGTTCCTGATTGTACGAAAAATCACGTTTTTAGCTTGTGGACCCTATAGAGGTCACAATTTTTATCCGATTTTTTTTAAACTTGAAATGCAAGTTTATAACCCAAAGATCTCGGTTCCTTTCGATATTCGCGCATATCGGACCGTAACTTCCTGAATTATCCCCCCTGATTGTACGAGAAATCGCGTTTTTAGCTTGTGGACCCTATAGAGGTCATAATTTTTATCTGATTTAAAAAAAACCGTATTATTATATCACCGTTACACCCTAAGGATGGCTGAGTTTGAATTTCGTGAAAATCGGCCCAAAACTGATAGACAAAATGGTCGCCCTTCGTTCTCAAATAGCGTAAAAATATGGTATATCAAGGTTGTGGACCCTATGGAGGTCACAATTTTAATCCGATTTTGTTGAAACTTGAAATGTAAGTTTATAACCCAAAGATCTCGGTTCCTTTCGATATTCGCACATATCAGACCGTAACTTCCTGAATTATGGCCCCTGATTGTATGAAAAATCGCGTTTTTAGCTTGTGGACCCTATAGAGGTCATAATTTTTATCCGATTTAAAAAACCGTATTATTTTATCACCGTTACACCTTAAGCACGACTAAGTTCGAATTTCGTGAAAATCGGCCCAAAACTGACAGATAAAATGGCCGCCCTTCGTTCTCAAATAGCGTAAAAATAGGTTATATCAAAGTTGTGGACCCTGTAGAAGTCACAATTTTTATCCGATTTTTAAATGTAAGTTTATAACACAAAGATCTCGGTTCCTTTCGATATTTGCGCATATCGAATTGTAATTTCCTGAATTATGGCCCTTGATTGTAGGAAAAATCACTTTCTTCCTAGTTTGTTCTCTATCCATCTCTCGAAAATGTGGGCGTATCCTGCCTGGCAGCCGCTGGTGCTCTATAATGTTCATAGTTTCTTTGAAAATGGTGTTTAAAACATTTGCCTCACCACAATATTTTGTCTTTTGAGAAATATTTTGTTAACTTTTGAGATATTAATAATTCAAATTGCTTTCTGTCTGATTCTGTGGTAGATATTAGTTTATATATCCTGCAAATTTGGTGAAGGTATCTCAACTAGTTACAGAGATATAACGTACCTACACTTTTCATAATTTTTCCCCAAAAAATGGGTTACCCTGGCAACAACTTTTTTTTAAAAGTTACTTTCCCTTCTTTATTACATTTCCTAACTACTTGCACCATTTTCGATTCAATAGCTTTACTATTTCAGAACAAAAATATTCGGGTAGCCTCCCCCCTTAATATAAGTTATAAATAGCAGAAATTACCTTGTCACATTCAACGCCCAGTTATTATTCACTACCTTCTTAGATGTATGCCACAACATGTGAAGGTCATTGGTGCATTATCTGCTGTAATTGAGACTTCACAGAATTTTCTAGGAAAGAATTATTCATGGCTTTAAATTATCTCCCCATTAATGAAATTTGTGTTTTATGCCCACTCAACAAAAACTAGGTCAATTGGGGATTGACATAGGTTGTCTTTAAATCAATAATACATGTACAGGTGGCTTCGTCTGCAATATCACCTTCGGTGAAAGTGGATGTTAACCACCCAGAACTAAAAAATACAGGTAGCTCAGTGAGATGTTGGCTTGCTAACCTGCAGAGAAAGTATATTAGGAGGCAGACCACCATTAATTTCCCCATTGACTTCAATGTCAACTCTGGCCTCTGCCCACCTTCAACTTTTCCCCAAATTTTCGTTGGGCTGAACGCTTTCCACTACAGAGGAACAAATGGTCATGCCTTTGCACGAGGTTGACCACCAAAATTTTGAGATACACATACTAAAAAGCATACTAAAAACATCTAACTAGTTGCCGTACATATCACCGTAGCCAACCTGATAACCCCGTTATCCTTGCGCCTCAAAATCATGAATATTTACCAAAACCTGGCAGAAAATGTTAATTCAAACCCTCTTCGGCCATTCTAGACGAAATTGGGGAGAAAAGAGAGAGAGATATGCTATAAATAGGGTTTCCCTTTGTCAGTGGTGCAGTTGAGGTCCTAGCAAGGGACAACGTTTAGTCGTTTTTATGTGGTGGAAAAACAAGGTCCTGTGTACAATTTAGCATGCATGTAAAAAAAAAACCTGTGGCAGTTTGAATTCGATATAAGAGTAGACTGGCGCCGCTGTTCGAGCAAAGTTTCACTCTCTGAGTATGACATTAAAACCTCATTTCATTTTTCTTAAACCTTGAGGGTACCCATGACATTTGGCAGGAGACCCTACTCATGTAAAACCTGGGGATCCATAGCAATTAACTCAATAACAGAACCAATAACAGAACCAATCAAACATGTGTACCATCTTGTGTAGTTTTTTCCCAAAAGTCTAGCTAGAATGAAGGCATGTGACCAGTTTCTTGCAAAATCAACCAGTTCAGCAGACATCATAAGGGATGTCTAACCCTAGCTTTAGTTTAAATAAACCAAAAATGAAAACGAATGAAAAGATTTTGATATTTTTAATCAATATGATAAAATTACCCACAACAACAAAAAATATGGTTTGACAATCAGATCGGTATATTGAATTAAACTACACACAATAATATTATTACAATCATTTTATTTACAAATATATCTTTTACACATTTTTCACATCAGTCAAAAACATGTAGGTGTTAATATACAAATAAGATCTGTGCTTGGAGGAAAATGGTCAGATAAATTTTGGGCCCATATTACTGCACTTGTATGATTAATATCCCACAAGGCCACCAACATGAGCAGATGTAAACACTCACAGAGTATATGCACAATTCTTCCTAGCTAAACAGATGTTTGCTTATTTTAATTTGTGTGTCTTACCCTACTTTATTAAAATATATTTTGAGCAACTTTACGTGAGAAGTGCTTTCATTATACACAAAATTAATAAGTTTTAAATTATTTTGATGACGGGCAGGTTGCATATACTTTCTTTAAAAGGATATCTGGGCAAGTGCATGTGACCACTTAATGTAGTAAGTAGCGACAGTGGAATTTGGTACATAGTTTCATGTAGTGATGTTTAAATATAGCACTTAAAGGATGTAAACAAGTTTACAATACATAATGGGTATAAATTACAAAATTTTATAAACATGAGAAACCACATTTCCCATTTTATATCTCTCAAGAGATGAACATGGGATTGACATTTATATTCAAATTGCTAACAATCAGTTGAACTGGAACCCATTCAAATGTCCAGAAGCGCTAAAACACGGTTATCATTTGCATTAGAACAGGAACATAATAAATACACAAAAACTAGTTTCTATTCTCACTATTTAGTTACGCTACTGTGCTTGCTGCACCAACTTTTTCAACAATGCTGAGTGAACATATTCTGAGCCCTGTTTCACAATGCAAACGTATTGAAGTTACAGGTATGTAGCTATTGGTAGATTGTTGTTCCAACTGTGTGTGGCACAGTGAACTAAGCGAACCTCCACTGAAATAATGACAGTAACACAACAAAACATGTATATATATAGATATATATATATATAAACAAACAATAACATTAGGAAATAGAGAATATGATGATGATGATATACAGTATGATTATACACATGGCAGTGACGTTCATTTCTATTCTAAATACAGTGAAATCTCTCTATTAAGACCAGCTGTGTGACAGATATAAATTGGTCTTAATAGTGAAGCAGTCTTTATAGTGAGTTTGAATCCCAGAATGCAGATTTTGTACATTCCTTAAAACATATTACTCTATTTCATTGTCTCAATATGATTAAGGTTTGTGAATGGTGGCAGTGGGAACTACAGCAGACCAATTCTTCTCTTTTGGTCTAGAGAATATTGACATAATTCCTACTATTTCTGACATTTTAAGTAAGGACCATTTGGCAGGTTCCATTATTATGCACTCAGGAAGTCTATCAGTTGATAAAGACTACATCATACTTCTCTATTTTCCAGTCCTGCCTATTTACCATGAATCAAACAGAAATTTGAGATATGATTTTGGTAGGTAATACACAACGTATAAATAGTAATGCTTTAATGTTTTAGCTGTATCTCTATACAGCCATTTCCTTTTGATTTTTGCTGCCTTTTTTAAATAAATAAGATGATGGTGTTCATAAAAAATAAATAATATTGGTGATCACAAAGGTGAACAAAATAGACCTTTCATTCATCATAATCCAATCTCCTTTCTACTATATCAGTCCATTCATAAATATTTTTTTATGAATATTGATACATGTAATTCATCCTGTGATACAAATTAAAACTATCAATAAAAGATGAATTCAGTTTCGGTTTCTAAATAAGGTATTGTTTAAATTTTCAGCAAAGTTTTCAATTGAATTTATTCATCAAAACCAAGTAATCTTTCCAAAATAAAGATTAAATATTTGTCAGATCTTGCGAGTAACATAAAAGTAATTAGATTTCTCTCCCTCTTGAGAATTTGAAATTCAATACATAAATATGGCTTTCATTACACAATTACGATCAGAGAAAATTAGTTGTAAAATCTCTAATAATCTAAAATCCATTAAGATCGGATCTCACAATCTGACCAACTCGACAAAATATCTGTCTTTAAGAACCACACACAACAACAGTCATTTGTCCATATTGCTCCGTGTAATGACAAGGTACAGTTTTAAATTAATTAAATGAGGCACTCTTTCATTCTACTTTCGTTTCCACTTCCCCTCCACCACTAGTTGGCGGGCCCCCTGATGATGATGTAGGTGGTTGTGGGGTTTTCTTGTCCTGCCCACCCCAGGGACTATGTTGTAACGCTGGTGAGTGTTGAAACTTGTCTTGTTCATCTTCATTTCCGTTTGACTCATATTGATTATTTTCTAGTCGAGTTATTAATCTTTCATCCTCATCACCAAATTCACCTCCCATCAAGGTAGGCTCTCCTACCATCATAACATCCTAGAAGCAAAAGAAAAAAAAATGTACTTCATGACAATACATGTCGACATGAAAAGAGATGAATGATCTAATGCAACATCATAAAGCAACACGCTAACCGCCAACATAATAAATATAGTCTACTCATGGCCATTTGCTTTCATGAATAATAAATGGAGGCATAAGATGATTTGATTGGCTACTAATTCTAATTGTAGCTTTTATCCCTTATAAATGATTTAATCTTATCACTATCAGTGAGGATTTCAGTCTAATTCAAGCATGACAATCATCTAGAAATATTCAGAATGGTGTAATAATAAGCATGAGAAAACAAATGAAAGAGTGAAAGAGACAATGACTGATACATACCCCTGGTACAGATGTAGATATATTAAATCCAGGTGGACCAGGTGATCGTTTCTGTTTACCAGTAGGTGCTCCATCACGACTATTAGAATTAGAATTATTACCAGTTGATGCTTTTCTCTTTCGTCTTTTACTAGGTGGCCGAGTTGCTTCTGTTAATATATAAATTTAAATTTGTTTCAATATCTGGCAGTCTTAACATAAATTATAATGTAATAAGTTGAATTAGTTTCAAAGATTTATAGATTCAAATGTACAAATATAACGTAATTAATTGAATAAGTTTCAATATACATGTATATAGGTTTTAATTTGAAGTTAAATTAGTTTCAATAATTATAAGTTTTAATTAAAATAAGTTGAACTAGTTTCATTATTTATAGCTTTTAATGTATACATGTAAGTTGAATTAGTTTCAATATTTATAGCTTTCAATATGTATAGCTTTTAATGTATAATAAGTTGAATTAATTTCAATATTTATAGCTCTTAATGTAAGATGTGATTAGTTTAGCACAATAAACAGGAGCTATTCTACACCATAAGTAATGTGGGCACTTGTTTACAGCATTTAAATAGAACTAGAATAACCCCTTCATTAAAGTTTGTTGCAAGTAGAACTATCCAAATAAACTGTGAAATGGCTCCATTTACACAATTTCATTGACAATATGGAATGTGCATATGTATACTATAACATCATAAAATAATACCTCAACACCACCACCAAGATTTGGTTTGAAAAGTTGTTTTTTTTATACCTGAACTCTTACCTTTCCCAGGTGGAGCAACCATTCGCTGCCATTTCTGGAAGAGCGTTGTTTTGAGACAGTCCCTGGGATTTAAGCCATACGCTTTGTGCCGAGACATAAGTTCCTGCATTGGTTCTAATATCACACACAGCTGAAGACAAAAATATATTATAATAAGGTATTTGTACAATAATTATTCAAAATTTCTGAAAACAGGTGTGTAACGTAAGCTTTTCAAAAGAAAAGTCGACAAAATATGCTATATTATTTGTTCATGGGACATAATATCTGCTTCCATATAGAGGTTGATATTGCAGATATTGTTCAATATCTAATATGGTCATTGCAAGTGGTCCTGTTTAGAGAGCCTATTAACAGACCAATGCGTGGAGATGGAAAATAGGCAGCTTACATATACATGAATTATACTAACCACAACTAGGAAGTACATTCTTTTACAGAAAAAATTATTTCTTGATTAATCACAACTAGGAAGTTTATATAAAACATTCTTTTAAAGAAAAAAAATATTTTTGACTCAATTGTTTACTTTTACATTATCTCCCCTATTGATACTGTCTGTTTCGATCAGTTTATCTCTTGAGACAAACAGTTTGTTTTTGGGAAATTTATCCATAATTTAAATTTTAACACACCTCAGCTGATAAGCTGCTAGTTGTGTTGTTTACAAGAATAGAAACTAAGGGAGACAACCATGAGACTTACCCTGAAACCATGTGACTTACTGAAACCATGAGACTTACCCTGAGAAAATTGAGTGTATAACTTGTAAGACCTTGTCTAGTGATATTTTTAGAAAGTTGTTCTACCATGGCAGGATCCTGCTACAAATAAACAGAAAACACATTTTACAATTGTTTAAACACTTCTCAATATATTGAACATATATTTAACTTTTTGCTAAACCTGAGCAGGAAATGCTCATTATTAAACTTTTTCAAGATATTGATGTAATGGACCTATAAATCTGCTGGTTTCATCACAAAGTTATCATGTTCCAAACAATGGACAATCCAATTGCTTATCTCTCTTTGGCATAATGAACATCTACACCAAGTTTGAATGGTGTCTACCTGTATTAGAAGCAGAATTATTGTGTTCCAAAATGGTATGAAAGGCAAAAGACCCATTTTAATAGTCTCTTGTGTTCTCTGAAAGGTCTGTGGCAATAAAAACCATAATTAACTATCCCAGCATTGTCACTAAAGGTATCTACAGTTGAAAACAGATATCTGACTATATGACGTATCACAAGGTTTATGATATGTTACTGAGTTAGTATCAATTAGTCTCCACATCGGAAAGATTTCATAAAACAGTACCCACCTGAACAGCTATAACAGATCTAGGTATAAGTTCTCTGTGTTGTCTTATAGCAAAATGCCAAGATCTTATTCTCATCAGATCATCAAATGTAAATTCTAATATTAATCTGCCTTCTGTTACAACCTGTGTATAATTTAAATATATTAATTAATACATGCAATCTACTGATCTCAAAGTGTTTCACAGTATTTGAGATTTTCATGGTAAGAGGATACTGAATATTTTACCACATTGTAAAAAAGAAATTCAAAGTAAGAATTTTCTTGTCAGTCAACAAATAACATACATATACAGCCATATTTAGATCATTTTCAAACTATTCTGACAACTGGAGAGCGAGTAGTTTTTTTTTACTTCACTTAATATCTTAGCAATGTTAAGAGATGACATCAGGTACATTACTTGTAACTAGGCACCATGAAGTCAGAATTTAACCAAAAAATTGATTCAATAATAAATATTCTTATAAACATCTTTTATCGCAAGCCTTGAATCATTTTTATTAGCCCAGTCGGTGCAACTCTTGAATGGTGAGACTGAATGACTATTTCTGTGTCAAATTCCAATTGGTTAACAAAGTCTTCAACAACCAATGAAATCCATCGTAACAATGAAACAAAATTGTGTAAGTGATATTTACAAATAACATTCTTCTCTTTGCACCCTATTAATTAAATATGTAAATGGAATACTCTAGAAACTACACGTGTGACAATAATCATCCACAGTCAAAAATATTAACTTACATTTGTAAACATTGGTTTACCATGTTGAGTAACCATCATGGCCTGATCACAGTCTAATGTTATAGTTGTATTGTGAAATGATTCTTTAGGATGTTTTAATACATAATATAAATCTGTTACACCACCCTCATATACACTTCGGAAATACCGCGGTAATAATGTTCGACCAATTGCTAAAATGATAAACATAATATCATACAAAATAACATGATAGGGACAAAAAGACAAATTTAAAAACAAAATATTACCACCCCCTCCATCTCAAGATTCAACTATGACTAAAAGTTACAATCCGATTGATCTTACATTAGACATGCAAAAAATGGGGAAGAGATAAGTTTTGATTGTTCTATCAAATTGAAACATCACTAAATTAATGAAATTGATATGAAATAATAATCTATACCTTAGATTAATATCAAAATAACCAAGAAGCCTCGGTAATCTTATACATCAAAAATAAGTCAAATTTGTTTTCATGGAAACATGAAATTCATTAAATCCAAGAAATTTCTAATTAGCAAATAGAACAACTACCATAATAGGTTGATTTGTGTTTAATGTTTTATAAAGATATCTTCAACAGTTTATAATATATTCTCCGGAACATAAACATGGGGGAAAGGATGTACAAATGGATCACATGGGCGAAAGGACATACAAATCGATCACATCTCGGTATCTCTCACATTACTTCCGTTCGGCAAGGGAAAGTAATACATAAGATCCTATCAAGAACTAACTGGATTATCTTTATTTGACACATCTATTACTCAGACATATTTTTTTTATATGTTACTCATCATAGATTCATGGGCAATATCTGATCTAAAGTTAACTTACTGTATCTCTTAGGACCATCTTCTAAACAAAAGGTCAATGTCAATGTTGCATCATCTTCAAAAAATTCAGTAGTAAAAGCATCCCACCACAGATTATCACTTTCCTGAAAACATAAGATAAACTATTTTTAAAGAAATTTTTTTTAAATCTAGCAGAGATATCAAAGTGTTGGAATCAGTTAAGATTCTTTGGTAACACTTTTGCATAATGTCTAGAAAGTAGAAGATGAAATTTAGAAAAATACATTAAAATCAAGCCCAGAAATAAAGACATCTGTCACAGATATTGTCAGGTATAAATTTGGGCTTTGTCAAGTCACAATCTCTGTGATGGCTACTAATTGGTCCAGCATATGTTGTTTTATTTATTTCTATGGATAGTATTATTAAAACATGTAATTATCGCACATAGTTCAAAATGACAGGTATTATAATATCTGACATTTTGGCAGGTACAAGTAAAACTGTTATTTCCAGGCCTGGTTATTGCAGATACTGATTGTTTATACCAATGTATTTATTTTGCTTGAGCATGATGTCTTATAATTAAGGAAGCCTGAACCATAACACATATTTTAATAAAATAAATTATCAATATTGTCTATAATTTGGTATTACATTGGTCATTTTGGGATTGTAATTTTCTCTTATTACTAGAAGTTGCTTCCGAACCAAATCTAAAATTGGAGAATTCAGATTTAAATTATGCAATATGTACATCAGTTTGACAAGGGTACATGTATAATGATCACTAAAATAATGATACTTTTATAATTTCTAAATAGATTATGCAATGTTATTATTTTTCTTAAATAGAAAATCGATTTAGTCATTATTCTCAATGAAAATTTAACACTAAATGATTTAAAGTTGAATATGTTATGAAAGAATATATTATCAGTGTATATAAAACATAAGTATTTTTTTATCATATTTATCAGTCTATCATCTATACAACGTGTATATTATATTCAACCTGATATTAGACTATATTTATACTACAACATGTAGTTTAGTTGCAAGCTGTATTTCAGTTATTTGCCAACCCAGGTCAGGACACAGCCTGTTATACAAGTCAATTCTAGGGAACATTTCACAATAACATTTCTAGTGCTGTAAACATTCTTAAACAATGGATCTATAATAAGGAAAACAAAACTGATATAATCATTTTATGAAATCAAAATTAATAAGATGCTTTTCTTTGTTTTATTGATATAAAAAAACAATCAATTAAACAGCGATCTAACTCAACATTAAAACCCATTAGCGATGAGAATAGTGACAATTTGTTTCCTTCGTGCATTAAGGGGAAAACATTATTTTTGGAAAGTGTTCCATCATATATTGTGTGTAAACTGTTCAGATGGTTTCCAATATTAGAGCCGAAACTCAGAAAATATATTAAAGGAGCTTGTTACAAATGGCACCGAAACGCATTATGGTGCACGATGGTACCATTATGGTAAAATGTTTATTTTGTCTTAAATATTGGATATCAGAAGCCCATCTTTTCCCGGTAAGACCACAACATCAATGTTGATTTAAATTGACAAATAATTTGCATTTTCAATGTCGAAAACTTTGGAGCTACTTTAGTAAGTGGGTGTGTTTTTTTACTAGGTATTTTAAATATTGTTCTATTAACTATTAGTAGCATTTATGCATTTTTATAATTTTAGACCAATGTTGTTTTTTATCTTCTGAAAACAAGAATTATTACTTCAATGCAATTCGTAATGATCTATATTAATGTGAAACTTTATGGACAACCACTTTTCTACACCTCAAAGTATATTTCTTATATTACCGTACAGTTGACAATATTGATTTATTCACTATATTATATAAAATACATGAAGACTTCCATTCAAAATGGATTATTTATTTTATCATTCAAGTTTTACAGCATTCTGTCTCCATTCAAGGTATTGTGAGACAGTCCCTACATTTATCCCTGCAAGTCTAATAGTGAAAGACTATAATCAAGGTCCTCAATTCTAGAACTGGGGGATGTGTGACCTCACTTCCACCCAGCTTTCCTATCTAACTAATTTGTCCTCTCCTAGATTTAATATTGTTTTATTAGGGAGAATATTAAACAATCAATACCTGATGTACAATGGCTAAGACCAAGATACATGTAATCAAAACATATGTGATTTCAGTCTTAAATATTCATGGCTCAAAAAATAACTTCTAATTACATATTTTAAGGGGAGTGGGTTCTTTTACATTTGGGCATTTCTCATCATTATTTTTTAAAAAGAATATTGAATCCAGGTAAAATTTCAAAAGGTGTTAGCAATGAAAGATTTTTATGGATAATGTTCAATTATTTTGACTAAAGAAATCATGAAACAAAATAGTTATGGAGGATGGATGAATTTCAATAATTATATTGTTGGTCTTGTCGGTGTTTCAATGTTTATGTTTTTGGCTGGTAGTGGTTATATGTGGAGTGCTATGGGCCTGTCTACGACTGTTGTCCCTGTCTCTCTATGATAGACATACAAAAACTTTCTATGATTGGCAATACGGACCCTTCTCAGTGTACAGGTCCCTCCTATGATTAAGAAGGTTGTAGCATTGTTTGCCCGAATTTATGAATGACAACGTCCCGAAAATCAGTAATAACTGTCTGAAAAATATTATTTCTGCCTGAATATGGCCATAATAAAACATATTTTCTCAGATTGGAGGGACTGATTCATTCCCGACAACCTGTTTAATATGCCTATGGCAACTCATGTACAGATATATAGGAGATAATACCGTATTATTACTATTACATAAACAATTAAACCATGGCTTAAACATTTAATAATGAAAAAGGTATTAACTGATATTTTAATAACCAGAAATTATTGAATTGCTTATATCATATTATACAAGCTTTTTGTTGATGTATAATAATAATAATATCCTGCAGCTAGGATTAGAGTTATACACCTTGGGGGATATATTAAAGATAGAAATTTCCCTCCGAGACGAGGTGTATTAAAGCTACTTAAATATACCTGCAGGATATTTCAAAGATCAGTGGTGCACACATAATTTTTGAATTAGGCCACAGCAATAATAAATATCTGTTTGTTGGGAATTGGATTTTAAAAATTTGAGGCGAGAGGGTTAGTCTTTTTTTTTAAATTAAAGAATTACATTGGCAAAATTTTACTTCCATTATAAAAGAGGTGTAATTTTTTTAATTTCTAATTTTGCAAGCCAGAAACTTTACTAGGTTGTAAATTATCTCTAAAATAAAGCTGCAGTTTTAAAGTTATTAGTTTACAAAACCAATTCATTTCTTGCTATCTTATGTGTTTTGATTACCACATATGTAAAAAAAATTTTCCAAAGGTATTTACAATTACTATATAACATAATTTTTTTGCAAGTTCTGCAGAATGTCCCTTAGTTTAATCCATACTTAAAATTTGAGTTGGACCCGATCCAACTAACCTAAAATCATATCACACTGACTTATAAAAGATTATAGAGGACAAATAATCTTAATCTTATAGTCAGCTTACTATACAGTGTGACCCACTATCATACATGTATATTACATTATTTCCTGGTTCAACCCACTTACATGTAAAATCAACCAGTTTAGATGTAACATGTTTTATCAAATAAATTATTGGAAAACATTCTAGAAACATAAATTTTGCACCAATCATTTTTTTGGCATTTAAGGATTTCTAGAAACTATCCATATATTTTCCTTACCGGTATGTTTATTTTTGAATGTAACTTAATAATGTTTCATTTGAGATCAAATTCTATTAATTATATATTAACTGACATTGAGTAACAATGGCTAAAACAGACTAATCTAACTGCAGCAAAGTCAACTGTCATTGATCATATACATGTATATCTGATTAAAATACTTCCTTATTCTCAAACTCACCATATTGTTTTACACTTTGTGTTACAAAAAGTAAATTATACAAGGTAGATTTTAAATATATTTTAAATATATAAGACTTTGTCCATGAAACTTAATCTTTCAATACCTTTGCCTGGTGTCCATTGGACAGGTTCATGTTTGATCCTTAATTGACAGACTATTCCAAGCATTCTTAACAAAAATCTTGGAGAAACCAATCAAATTAAATTAAATGAACAAACAAGATTCTAGTCAAGGCACACACAGATAATGAATAGTAAAGCCCGTGGCGGGATGTTCTTTCCATTCAATGCTTCCTTTAAAAACAGCAATAAATACATTTCAGCAAATTTTTAAACATTCGAGTAATATCTCCAATAAAACAAATCAAATTTCTACTCACCTCTGTTCTTTGTTGAAGACGTTTGTTAAGTTCATAGATTCTAAAATCTGGTTGTCCCATGTATGGCGTAGGGCGCCTGTAGAAATTAGAAATAGGTGAATAGTAAAATGGATCGGCATGCATCATGTAGATAATACAATATACTACAATATACTACAACAATCAACAGGTGCTTCTTGAACACTTATAACACGTGCTAGTCAATCACGTCAACACTTCATTATCCATATGTCTTTACGCTTCATTGATAATCAATGAACCTTTAACATAACAACAAACAGTTACTAGCTATACAACACACTTTTCTATATTATTTAATATGTAAACATCCGTTAGCTATGATCACACCGATATCGACCCGTAAGTTCAATATCTCTTCCTGTTTATAAATAATACGCCTATTATTTACAAAGTATCTTTCACGTTTTGTATGCGATTAACATTGGTTTATACCACGGTTCAACTGTCGATATGTAAACAAGTCTATAAACTAGGATAGTTTCAATAATTCATATAATCATGAATCACAATCACTATTGTCTATATAGAGGTTGGTGTCCGTGACAATAAGCACACAAGTTGTATCAGATTAGAAGAATTTTAACATCTATGTATTACATGTGGGTTAAGGTACACTGGTAGAGAGTTTAGATTATCTCAACTAGTAAAGTCTAACCACGTAAAATCAGCTGTAAGCCTAAACATGCAACCATGTGGTGTTATAATACATACAGGTTGCCCTCGTCTATATTTATCACAATAATTACAGCAAGTCATGCATAACCAGTCCCTAATGTACATTTACATGAATACTAAATCTTCCCTGACATAAGTCAGATGCATCCAGTCTCATTGACTTGATCATATAAGTCACTATAGCTTCACATGTAGTAACATATTCTAACAGTAAACTCAAGTCTACACACAGCACAAGTCAAGCATGGCAAGTGTGAGCAAGCCAGTACAATGCATCCTGGGAAGATTAGGTCACAGGTCCACTAGTCACAATATGCTTTGACTAGATTGTCCAGACTATTCATGATTGTCAATTCTGGATGACCAGCCAATTCAACAGAAGACTAAACTCTAAATGCAATTATTTGTCACTAATGAAATGACTCATACGAAAGAAATACCTAAAACCACTTTTAATTCATTTTGGGAATTCACATGCAATTTGATCTCTCAAAATAATCCATGCATTTGGGTTCCCGAACGGTATAAATGTAAGTAACAATTTTTGTTGGGGTCAATGTCTTCGTGTATATGCTTCAAGAATTTGTGATTTTTGATCATAGGTATTTTGCCATACATTGTATGTAGGACTACCTGTAGTAGTGCATCCATTATATTAAATCATTAATCAAGTGTCAATGTTTGATAATACCACAAGTAAGGCCTATAGATCAATAATTTATCACATCAATTGAGTTCTGTATATATTCTCAATTAATTTTAACTCATTACTATATTAACAGAGTTCAAATCATGATATGTCATTTTTTAAAACTAGATTAAATATTTTCTAGGATCAAGGTAAAAGACAGTGATGTATCCAACCTGCAAATTCAAAAGTTAGTGTAACAGTCGAGTTTGCAAGAAGTAGGCAAGTAAATACATATGACTTGTAAAGTGATTCAGACACCATGTTCAAACAGAATGTTAACATTGCTTAACATACTTTGTACATAAATGTGTATTTTGTACATAAATTTGTATTTTGTACATAGATGTCTATTTTAAGATGTGTATTTTAAAAACTTAAAACAAAATTTAAACTACTGAGGAATCTTCTATTGTTCAAACAAAATGGTAATGTCCCAACAGTGTGTGAGTGGAATTTCATTTAACGCCAAGTATATGTGGTGTTGTTTGATGAATCTCACCCTGACTTGCAGTTTTTACATGTATATATTGGAATTTAGTCGTTTTTTGTCATCACCCGTGCCCGTCAGTCCACATTATCTTGTGCAGGCTCTAGAAACTTAAGTTATCGTCTGACTGACTTTTAATTCATACAAAGTTAAGGTTTTGACACAAAGAAGCCTATTGATTTTCAGCAATATTTGATGAATTATGGTACTACCAGATTTATTTTAACAAATCTTGTGGACACTCTGTAGGTTAAAGTGATCATCAAATTGACCGAGCAGTCGACAAGGGTTGTTGCATATTTATTCTTTTGTAAGTACATGTAATTGGGGGCATTTACAAGACAATTTCATACAGATCAGATTATAATTCTCGTTGTTTGAGGGTTCACAAGGCTCTACAAACTGAAACAAGGATCTTAACTCTGGAAGTAATTTACAGAAATTGTTGAAAGTCTACAGGCTTTCCATTTTACTAATTTAAATAATGCATATAAATTTCATACAGATCGGTTGATAACTTTTGTCATTCGAATGTTCACAAGGGCCATAAGTTGAGAAGTAATCAACGAAATTGCTGAAATTCAATAGGCTTCTTTGTTTCAGTAATTTAACTGATGCATATAAATTTCATACAGATCGGATGATAACTTATGTAGTTTGAGCATTCATAAGGCTCAACAAAGTGAAAAAAGGGCCATAACTCTAGAAGGAATTAATGGAAATTATTGAAATTTTATTTTAAATAGGATTCTTCATCTCACTGATGTAAACAACATACCGGTATATCAATTTCAAAACAAGTAGATGATAAATGTAGTCTGTAACGTGTTCACCAGAAATTGTGGGCGATGGACGGACAGTGATACGGGGGTGACGGCAATATACAACCATATTTCCATGTGGACATATCAAAAGCCTATTGATTTTGTTTAAAAATGTTTGCTCAGACCACTCATCTGATGTGGGCATATATTTTGTTGCTCTGAAGAATATCTTTTCAACTACGATCCTACAAAACTCTGGGGTTGTGATAAAATTGCATAAATGCTGGTACACTACAAGATGGGGGATTAAATGAATATCTTCATTTCTTCCATTGACATTGCATGGAACCTAGACAATTTTCGATGCCATTGAAAAGTCATTACCCCTGGCTATGAACCTGGTGCCTATTTCTTGAAATCCCAAGACATTTAATTTTGAAGAATACAGGGGTTTTTTTGCCAATTTTATATTTTGAAAGAAATGAGTGTTTTCTCAAACTGCAGATATTTTAAAGTTGATTTCATCCAAAAATCTTTTATGAACAAAAATTTATATATCTTGAAAATTGTGTGTGACCAACTTTATAAGCCTAGTATTATTCTGCTCTCTGTTGACATTGTCACAATGTATGACTTGACCTTGAGTTAGATTTATTTCTGTCTAATAAAATAATTACTTGAAGCAAAGAATACTGTTCAACTACATAGGTGGTGCCTTCACAATCCATTTTTACTCAATACACTAAACAAACTACAATACATAACATTTGTTGCTTGCTTTTATTTTGGATTTCATTTTATGATATCTAATCCTTTAGAAGCATTTAGTAACTGGATAGAGTTAATAAACTAGAAGTAAGAACACATATATAATAATTATGGAAGAATAATTACTAATTCATTTGGGAAACACTTCGAAGAGTATTCTTTCAATGTTTTCAAGATATATGTTAAAATATTGCACAAGGGTACCGTATTAAGGCCCTCATTTTCGGCCATTTGTCAGACATGGAATGATTGGTAGGAAACTTGATAAAATTTTTAAAATTTCACCTTGTAATGTAAAGATAGGTTGCCAGGCAACAAAACATACGCCCACAGCAGCTAAATCGTCCGAGCAGTCGACAAGGATTGTCACATATTTATTCTTTTGTAGGTAATTAGGGGAATTTAATAGACAATTTTATACAGATGACATTATAATTTCCGTTGTTTGAAGGTTCACAAGGTTCTAAAAATCTAAAACAAGGCCGTAACTCTGGAAGCAATCTACAGAAATTGTTCAAATTCGACAGGCTTTTTTCGTTTTAATAATTCAAATAATGCATATGAATTTCATACAGATCGGATGATAACTTTTATTGTTCGAAAGTTCAACAAAGTAAATCAAGGGCCATAACTCTAGACGTAATTGATGGAAATTGCTGACATTCAATAGGCTTGTTTGTCTTCATTTCACTAATTTAGGTGATAACTGAAACTCAATAGGCTTGTTCGTTTTACTAATTTAAATGATACATAAAAATTTCATACAGATCGGATAATAACTTTTGTCGTTAGAGCATTTACAAGGTACAACAAAGTGAAACAAGGGCCATAACTCACGACGTAATTAACGGAAATTGCTGAAATTCAATAGGCTACTTCATTTCACTAATTTAAATGATGCATATCAATTTCAAACAGATCGGATGATAACTGTTGTCATTAGAGCGTTCACAATATTCAACAAAGTGAAACAAGGGCCATAACTCACGACATAATTAACGGAAATTGCTGAAATTCAATAGGCTACTTCATTTCACTAATTTAAATGATGCATATCAATTTCCATGTGGGCGTATAAAAACCTTAGTATCTATGCATACAAACATTGAGGAATTGGTTTAAAAACTGAAACAATGGTTATATTTTCAGAATAAATTTCAGGCTAGTCTGGGTTGAAAAAACTAACTTGCAGACAAAATTTGGGATTTTCTGCATTCACTTCTGTACATACATGTAAATGATGGTGTTATCAAGACATAAGATATATGTAAATGATGGTGTTATCAAGACATAAGATATACCGGATGTATAAATGAATTACCTCAGTAAGGATGAATTAGTCTTTAGGATTAGGATATACGAATAAAATAATGGCATGTATTTATTTGAATCAGAATATGGTTTACTGAATATAAACATTTTGACCCATTGCCCTTTTCTGGTTTCTTCAGATCAATGTTAATAAATCCTTGATTGTACAACTTAATCGCAGCCTATGGACACAAGATTGTGTGTTTTGGATAATCAACATACATCTTAATTTTGTAAAACCATGGACCTGTCTCGCAAATGGTCATGCAAAATGAACCCTGTATTTGTTATACAATAAACATACCAACCAAAGTTTATTAAAATTTTAAAAAGGATTTAAATGAGAATCTATCAAAAAT